TTCTCAAAGTCTGGGTTCCCTTTTTTTCCTGTCTAGAAACAGCTGAGGAGAAAAAAAGGAACCTGTTGCATTGCAATACAGTGGTACCTCAGGTTACATACGCTTCAGGTTACATACGCTTCAGGTTACAGACTCCGCTAACCCAGAAATAGTGCTTCAGGTTAAGACCTTTGCTTCAGGATGAGAACAGAAATCGTGCAGGAGCAGCGGAAGGCCCCATTAGCTAAAGTGGTGCTTCAGGTTAAGAACAGTTTCAGTTTAAGAATGGACCTCCAGAACGAATTAAGTACTTAACGCGAGGTACCACTGTATAGGAATGTGTCTTTTGATGACTACCCAATTATATGCATCCCCCCCCTCGTTGGCTTTCTTTAAATATCTGTATGTTGTTGTTTTACCTCGACCCTTTTTGGTAAATGTCCAGTTGTTGAATGGGACGCGGGTGTCGCTGTGGTGTAAACCACAGAGCCTAGGACTTGCCGATCAGAAGGTCGGCCGTTCGAATCCCCACGATGGGGTGAGCTCCCGTTGCTCGGTCCCTGCTCCTGCCCACCTAGCAGTTGGAAAGCACGTCCAAGTGCAAGTAGATAAATAGGTTTATTCCGGCGGGAAGGTAAACTGCGTTTCCGTGCACTGCTCTGGTTTGCCAGAAGCGGCTTAGTCATGCTAGCCACATGACCCAGAAGCTGTACGCCGGCTCCCTCAGCCAATTAAGCGAGATGAGCGCCGCAACCTCAGAGTCCTCCGCGACTGGACCTAATGGTCAGGGGTCCCATTACCTTTACCACTTGTTGAAAAGTAGCTCCGCCTGCTGCTGCTGCTGGTGGCGCCATTGCCCGGAGCCGGTTCTTCCTTTCCCAAGTTCCATCATTGCCCACATGGAGGCACCCAAAGACTCCTCTGATGAGTCAGCAAGCGAATTGCGGACATTCCTCAGGATGTTGAGGAGGGGCGGCCCAGCCCAAGCAGCTGCTCGAGCGCCTCTTCCTTCTCAAAAGCTCTAAAAGCTACCCATGAAGCCACCTTGCGCCTTGGTCCTTCTCGCCCGGTATTGCCTGGCGTGGCAGCGGCTCCCTTGGAGCTACCGTAGACTTGGTGCCTGACATGCTTCAGCTGGGGTTGCCAGAGCCCGAACTCTCTGCGCGCAAAGCGCTGCTCTGCTTCTTAGTTCCCACGTTCCCCCAGAATCTCTCCCCCCCCCGCCCGCCTCCCCGTTGCAACAATGCTTTGTGGATGCTTGACGCCATGCATGGCGAAGGGGAGGCGTCGCTTTCCCTAGAGCTGCGCCGCCCTGCTGCGTAAACGGAGTGGCTTGGTTGTGGTCCACGCGCCACGCCACTAAGGCGGCGCGGGGACTGGCTGCATACCCACGGGCAGCCGATAACTGAACTCTGCTCTTTAAATTACTTTTGCCAGTTGGTATACCGCCTCGTGCTCTGGAGATGGCAGGATGTGGAAGCAGAGAAGGAAAGAGCGAGGATTGGGTTGGTTGTCTGGAAGGATCCTTGGAGGTTTTGCGCGCAATATCCAAGAGGAGGAGAGGAGCAAAGGTTCCCGAGGTCTCTCGCGCCATCGCGCAATTCTTCCTGGAGAGCTCTTCTCAACTCCCCTGCCTTCCCCTTCCCCTTCCGTGGAATCAGCTATAACGCAAAAGGCGAGGCCAGAGGTAAACAGTAATGTCCCCCTGCCCCAGGTTGCTGGACTCCAAGCGCCAGCCAGCGTGGCCATCCCTGCTCCAAGGCCACACGAGAGGCAACAAGGCTCCTCCACAGTCCCAACCCCGCTCCGGCACACACCACTCTTTCTTATATTGGGCCAAACCTGCTGTTAAAACGCCCTCATCAGAGCACGTTGGAGTCTATTGCCCTGCACACTTCACAAGGGAATACATCCCATTGCAATCAGTGGGGACTTACTTCTGAGTAAGCGTCTATATTGTTCAGGGGCGCCAGCTTGAACAAAATATAGGGTGGGGGCAGGTAAGCTCCGCCTCGCGTTATGGATCGCAAGACGCGGCCCACGCGCACCACTGGAATGGCTTTTATTGCGAGGGCCGAAGTGACCTCGTCCCCTAGGAGTTGGCTCCTGTGAGATTGTTGGTCAAGAACAATCAAAGCGGGAAATGATGGAGCAGGAGAGAGGGTGGGAGCTGGAAAAGCAATTTATTTCAAGTCTCAGTCCCTTATCGTGGCAAGCTGCGATGGCAGTGGGGGTGCAGTGGTTAGTGTGGGATTAGGACCTGGGAGGCCAGGGGTGGAATCCTCATTCGGCCTTGGGCCAGTCAATGCCACAGCCTAACCTACCTCACTGCTGGCCGCATGACCCGGGAAAACTGCGGACAAAAATCGGCTACCTCAGCCAGTAAAGCGAGATGAGCATCGCAATCCCAGAGTCGTTCCGACTGGACTTAACTGTCAGGGGTCCTTTACCTTTACATACCTCACAGGTTTGTTGTGGGGATTAAATGAAGAGGGGGGAGAACCGTGTGTGCTACCTTGGTCATGGGCGTAGCCAGGGTTTTTTGTTAGGGGTGGCAGGCTTTTGTTGGGGCAGCAGAACCTCAGATTTGTATTGATTTGATTTTGATGGAAAAACCTAACAGTACCTAACTATCGAAGGCTTTTCACCAAAGCCAGACTGAATGTCTTCCCCTCTGCAGTGCTGGATGGTAGGTTGAGAGGAGTTCCCTACCAGGACAGACTTTGTGTGCTCAAGACATGGATTCCATAGATCATATTTTGTTACATTGTGCAAAGTATGAGCAGGCCAGGGCTCGAACTGATACTACCCTTGCTGGTGCCTTTCCCGGGAAAGTCAGAGGCTCACTATGTCAGGTTCCTACTGGAAGACCGGACAAAAGCTAGAACGTTGGCAGTGGCAAAGTTTTTATCGGTGGTTGCAAGAACAAACGAGCCCTATATTCCAAACAAAGTGCTTGATTAACCTGGAGGTAGACTGTATGAACTCTGTATTAATTTGTAATGTTTTGTTGGGTCTCTGGACCGTAATAAAGATTGATGATGATGATGATTTTGATGGACTTTGGAGGGCAGTTGCCACCTTGGCTGCGCCCATGCTCCTGGTGCGGAGAAGACAGGATATAAATGCAAGACATAAACAAAAACAACAACATAATGGTTTTATCACGCAATCATCATGATCACGCACTATTCTTAGCATCTCATTGTTGAGGTGTTTGGCGTTTCCAATTGCGCACTTAGATTCCCTGCTCTTATTTGGAAGGAAGGAAGCCCTGTGGGAATGAATGAGACTTCCTTCTGAGTCGACATGAAAGCGCCTGGCGCGCGCATCCACACGTGACTGCATTTAAAGGTAGAACTTGATCGTATGCATGAGCCCTCATAAAGGCTTGCGTGAGTTCCTGGACTGACGCGAAACCCGGTTGCGTCGACGTTCCTGCAGCAACTGCCCAACAACTTTTATTTAAAAGAGATAAAAAAAGGAAAAAAAGCTCAACCACTTTGGCTGCCCCCCACAACAAAATTCCTGACGTCTACGGGCATCATACCAACTTTGGGCACCCAAAGCCCCGTTTTATCTGTTAAAAAGATATAGGAGTGTTAAACTTTTTTCCACTGTTGGTTTGAGGCGGAGTTTCTCGATTTTTCGGTGGGCTGCGGACGTTGCCTGCTTTCTTTGTCTTTATTTGGGTGTGTTTGGGTGTTTTGCTTGCTTTGGGAGGGAAGGACGGATTCTTCTCCTCCTGCGAGATGCGTATATTAGGGTGCCTAGGGCTGGGTCTCCCCAAAACCAGGAATCCCTGGTACAGAGGTATTCGCATACCGGTTCCTTCGCACGTGGATCGGGTCGAAGCCATTGTAGTCTTAACTGGGCTGTGGGTCACAGTCACAGCGAAGCTAAGGCTCCCATTCGATCCATCCTGAAATCAGCGGCATTTACTCCTGAGTAAACGTGCCTCGGGCGTAAAGCGCTTCGCACAGCGAAGAACTCTTGCCTTCCCCGACGGCTCAGCGCCGCCACAGCCGGTCGCGCCGCGGAATCTAGAGGGAAGAACGGATGAGAATCGTCCCAGGAGCGGCAGCAACAGCAGTAACAACAAAGCAAATATAGCGCTAACCCTGTTGAGCCAAAGTATGCGTTTTTCCAAACAATACGTCGGCCTCAGAAATACTTCGGCTTCTGCAAGTTGCAGATCGCCCTTGCCCTCCTCCCTCCGTCACTCCCTCATCTCAACTTGGGGGCCTCTGTCGATCTTTTTGGCCGGCTAAGGACAACCCCTCCCCGCCCTGACGTGTGAACGCGTCTCCTCCAAGCGGCACGGGCTCCTGTCCTGCTCCAGCGCCGGGTTTGCCGGCTTGAGGTGAGGTGGGGGGCAGGGATGAGCCTCGCACCGGGGGGAGGAAACCTCCGTCCTCCGACTGCGGGGCTCGCCCAGCGGGGAGGGGGCAGAGCCCAGTCCGAGCCGAGCCGAGCCCACCTGCAGGAGACCCGCGCGCCTGGCCCGGCTTCCGCGAGCCGGGGATGGCACCGCGGCTACCTCGGGCCGAGCTCCGGGCCGCTGGGGGCCGCCCGCCGCCCCTTGCTGGCGGCGCCCACCTCCCGCCTCGGAGCGCAGCGAAGGACGTGGCGCCCTTGTGAAGGCTGGGCGCAGGGGGCTTCCCAACCCGGGCTCCGACGGCAGCCTCGGCCCGCTGCAGCAGCCAGGTAAGCGCTTTCTGCCGCGTGCGCCCCGCGCGCACGGAGAAGGCGGGAGGCCCGCGAAGCCAGGAGGCACCCGGAACCCGGCCACTCTCCGCGGCTTGCCGGGCTGCGGGGTCCGCGAGTTCCCGCGGGCGCCTTCGGGGCGTCCAGCAACCGCTAGAGGGAAGAAGCTGCGCGCGGCGGGAGGGAGCTGCAGGCCCAGCTTGCCGGGAGGCGTGGAGGGGGAGATCCCAAGCGCCCTGGCCCTGACTTTTCCCCCTCCGGCCCTTTTTAAAGCGGAGTCGCGGGCGCACCTGCCCACCCTGCCTCTGTGGGCCATGTTGGACGGCCTGAAAATGGAGGAGACTCTGCACGACGCGCTCGAGCCGCCTCCGCCGCAGCCGACCTCCCTCTCCTCGGCGCTGGGTGAGTGCCAAAGTTCCCCGCGCAACGCCGCCGAGGCAGCCCCTTCCCAAAGCGAGCCCTGCTTCCGTGCCGGATCCCTTCGGGTGCCGGAGTTGCTCCGCCTGCCTTTCTGTCCCGCGGGAGCTGCTCGTTTGATCCCGATCCCGAAGGAAGAAACGGAGGACAGGCGGCGCCTGCAGTCTCGCCAGCCCGGCGGGGTTCAAACGACCAGCTCCGGGGTGCGTCTTAGGTGGGAGGAAAAGAGGGCGGGGGGAACGGTTTTCTCCGTAGTGGGAAGAAAATAAGCGTCCCAAGTGCCTTCGCGAGGAAGGAGAGAGAGAAGGGACCCCTTGCAATCTTCACCATCACCCATAGAATTTAAGAACGAACCTGCCCAAATAGCAATATCTATGTCTTTATTAGTTTACTTACCCAAGCCCACAAACACACAGAGATCTATGAGGTTAATAACTAGCACAGAAATCTTGTTCTGTACACGCTGCATGGAGCTGGAGCGGATAATCATCGCGCCAGGGCTAATAACGTTTCTTGGAAGGGAATAGCGGAGAACTTCTTTCCTCCGCTTCTGTATGCCCGCACCCTGCACGGCAGTTGTTCCTCTGCCGTCGTCGTCGGCGCATCTTCTCCGTCGGCTCACTCAGCAGCGCCGCGCAATGAAAGCCTCTTTGTCCTGGACGTTGCGCGTTTCAAGTTTCGAGGGTCGCGCAGTGGGCAGATGGAGAACATCGCGACCACAGGTGGCACGGGATTGTCCCGGGATGCGGTTGTCCCACCCGAGGACAAAAAGCAACTTTTGTCTCGACGAATCATCTCTAAATGGTAATATAACAGGACCGCAAATTCTAGGCAGGAAAAATCGATTCTGTATCTAAGAAAACATGGATAAATTTTGAAATATTTCGCCCCTTCCTGGGAGCAAAATCTTGGTTCTGTCTTTGCCCTTCCAAATATACAGCCCCTGGTGCCCAATATTTTCCAGCCTGGAAGGGGACTTCGGGGAGCAGCGCGCCTTTGAATCGTTTGTTCAAGTCACCAAATGACCGAGTCTCATAAGTATATTTCACATTGTATTTCGAAAGAGAAGCAGATATGAATAAGACACCTTATTTTAAAAGAATTTTTCGTTTAGAATTCGAGGCCTTTTTCGTTTTCGCTTCGCTTTGGCCCGAGGGCGGCAAACATTCGCTCAGCCTGAATCTTGCCTCCTTTCTTCAAGTGTAATAGGATTTTATTAGTCACAGCCTTAGAAAAAAGAAAACCAAACAAACAAAAAAGAAAACCACAGAGCCCCTTTTTTGTTGTTTAAAATCCAGCTGCATTTTTCTAAAGAATAAACTTTCTTTTCATAACGCCACGATGACGGGCGGGATGCTTTGCATCTAAACCAAAGAGCGTTTCGACAGCGGCTCAGGATCCCGCGCCTTCGTTTTGAAAGGACATTAAAAATCAGCTCGCTCCTTACTGAAAACAGACATCTTTAGGGAGAGCGAAATCCCCGTCGGGGTTTGCAAGGGACGCGATTAGTTTGGGAGATGTAAGGAAATGAAATAAAACTTGTGGTTTGAGAGGGATCGGCGTGCAAAGGCGCCCCGTCGCAAGTCCATTTGGGGCTGCGCAGATTCCCACCTCAAGGCCATAGCCTTGTTTTTTCGGACTGGCCTCAGGCCGGTGTTTACTTTCGAGCCACAGCCCGATCCTAACGCACGTTCTTAGCCAGGAGTCCCGTCCGGCTCCATGGAACTAAGGCAGGGGCGCACGGGAGGTGGGGAGGAGGCGCGTCCTGGCGCGTCCAAGGAACCGCAAGCGCCTCCGCCCCGTCGGAGAAAACGGGTTTGAGCCCCCGAATGGCGGCTGCCAAGAACTGTCCCTTCCGCCGGCTGGAGTAGTTCGCTCGCGCGGAACCTGCCTAAGCAGCCCTCCGCAGCCGCCCCGTGCCGAGAGAGCTGCGCGCCCTGTTTTCCAGTCCGCAGCGCGCCGGGAAAGCGGACGGCGGAGGGGCGGGGGCCAGTTTTCAGCTCCCTCGCTCCGGGGGCAAGGAAATGGTGCTCGCCGCGAGGGGATGGGGACCGCAGCGGGAGCAAGGGGCCTTCTTGGCCGTCGGGCTGAGTTGCGCCTTGGATGGCGAGGCTGAGGGGATGGGGCGATCCCCGGGACGGTTCCTCATGGCCCTCGCGTTCGTTGCAGGGGGAGCCCCGGCGCGGGCGCGCTCGGTGTGCGAGGGCTGCGGCGGCATCATCGCGGAGAGGTTCCTGCTGCGCCTCAACGAGCGCCTGTGGCACGAGCGCTGCGTGCGCTGCGCCGCCTGCCAGGATCCCCTGCGAGGCACCTGCTTCTTCCGCGACCAGAAGCTCTACTGCCGCCTCGACTACGAGAAGTAAGTGGCGCGCCGGCGGGGCGGGCAGCGGGGCCCCGCGCTCACCTTAACCCAAGACCCGCGAGCGGAAGGCGCGTCGGAGCCAGAAGGCGCCTCGGAGCCTGTTCCCACGAGCAAAGCGCAGAGAAGGCGCGGGGCTGCATTCGAGGGAACCCGGGCGGCCAGTGGGGTCCAGGCGCCCAGACCCGCCGGGACCTGTGCGCCCGGAGCCCTCGCGTTTCCTCTCCATGCTGAAGTCCTAGGAGACTTGGCGGGCCAAAGCAGCGGGAGGACTTGGATATGAATAGGTTCGGGCAGCCAGGAGACACGGGATTGCAGTCTTAGACTTGGGGCACAGCTTGGTCTGCCAGTTGCAAGACCAGGAGTGCGATGGGGGCATCCTGCGGGTCTCTTCTCGCTCCCGGTTGAACGCGGCGCATCTCGCTTTAGAGGGAAGCAAAAGGTTTCTCGTCATGGGTGGAGTCCCTCCCCCCCCCCCCCAGTAAGGACCAACTTGGCAGTTACAGATAGACATGTGCCACCCAACAACACCTCAGCAAATCGTCTCTAGGACAATGGGGCAAAACTCTCTGGATCTCTCTCACTGAAACGGGGGGGGGGGGATAACAGCTCCCCACCCCACGGTTTGAGTGAGCGGCTGGTGAATGAATGCTGCCCTTTCATATTAAGGGCATCTTGAGAATAAACAGGAGTCACAATTTGGCTCATGTCTTCACTTCAGACATGTGATCTTGCTGCAAGTTATCCTTTGTATGCAGCTTCTGATTCCCACACCTAAGTGATATCCATGTCTTCTGTGAAGGAGAGTGCCCAGATTGAGGCAAGGGTGCAACTCTCAAAGGGAGGGATCAGCTAAAACGGTGCCTATATATCTATATATTGCTGCATTCTTTCCTGTTTCCTTCAAAGCGCTACTGGTCAGATGGCCCTATTATGTTCCTCACTTCAGTGTTGAACTGACTCCCATTGCAACCCATAAAAGAGCCCTGTTGGGTCATGTGGGTCCAGCATCCTGCAACATCCAAAGGCCGCCAGGAAACCCCCAAGCAGAGGATGGGGGAAACTATCTTCACACATTCCCCCCTCCCCCAGAACAGCCTCCAAAATGGATGTTCCCGTTACCTATAGTGACTTATTTCTATAGCAGTTCTCTATTAATCTGTCGAATTACCTTCCACCTTAGCTAAGTGCTTTAAACAGAAAGCCCTTATCCACCCATCCATTAGTGGAGTTTTACAGGGTGGTAGAAGGGAGGCACCCACTTTCAAACTATGCCAAGGCTGACTGCTGTCCTCCCAAGGCCCATGGTTCTAGGACGGATTTATCTGTGAGAAACAAAGCAGTTTTTCAGAATAGTGGTGCTTGTGTCAAAACTGGTATCATATTCTGTAGTCCTGAATTGGAAAGGGTTTGTGTTAGAATTTCCTTAACTGGTTTCATTCAGTGATTTGTGGAAGTGTTTTGCTCATATCATAGTGTTGAGACATCTGGCGGTACTGAATGCCCAGACACACCTACAAGAACCCTGGGTTTTCTCCCATGGCTTTACGGAGTTAATGTGGATTGGCAAGAATGGGTAGTATTCAACTAAGTTTTACTTGCTTAGATGAACTTATTTCAATGGGCCTACTCTGACTAAAACCATGTGCACAGCGGTTGTAATAATAAGAGATTTAGGGCGTCTCCAGATTACCTGTTTGCAGGGTATTCACCCTGATTTACTTGCACAATGTTTACACAGAGGTTATATGATGTCTGCTATTTATTGAGCATACATTCTTATTTGTTTGTGGGGAGGTTATATGACAGTGAGTATTCATCCTGATTTTTTTTTTTTTTGAGGAATATGCATTTCCATCAAATTGCTGCTCCCCCACACTTTTTTAACGCACTCCCTTGCTACTTTCTTAACCACAAAATGCACTTTCTAAAAAAAGTGGACGTGTTGTGCTGGAACACTTGAATCCACTTTAATTGCGTAACCTAAATTTTCTGGTATGCAATTGAATCCCTCCTGCAAAACATTGACAGCCTGGAGGCAACCTGAGATTATCCTTTTAAAGCACGTAAAGGTAAAGGACCCCTTACAGTTAAGTCCAGTCGCGAATGACTCTGGGGTTGAAGTGCTCATCTTGCTTTACTGGCCGAGGGACCTGGCGTTTGTCTGCATTCAGTTTTTCCGGGTCATGTGGCCAGCATGACTAAGCCGCTTCTGGCGAACCAGAGCAGTGCATGGAAACACCGTTTACCTTTCCGCCAGAGCGGTACCTATTTTTCTACCTGCATTTTTTGACGTGTTTTCCAACTGCTAGGTTGGCAGGAGCTGGGACTGAGCAACGGGAGCTCACCCATCGCGGGGATTCGAACCGCCGACCTTCCGATCGGCAAGCCCAAGAGGCTCAGTGGTTTAGACTGAGGAGACAATGGTGGTTTTGGTGATGCTGAGCAGATGCAATTGCAGGCAGGAGGGGGGTAGCCCCAGTAATCCTTTGTGTTTCCATACTAAGAAAACGATAGTTGTTGTTTTTTAAAAGGAGTAACAACCCATTTTAACCCAGAAGCCACTTTTGTGGCAGAACACTTTCTTTACAGAGAGAAAGTAATGCTTAGGAAGGCCTCTAAATCTTAGCCAGAGGGCTTGTCATTAAGCTCTGCGCCATACACTGAATTTAACCCTGGTATCCTCTCCCAAAAGAATCTGAGGGAAATGTAGGGATTGCTAACAGAAAATGTTCATCACCTTGCCAAACTACAACCCTCAGCATTCTTTGCAGGAGGTCACTACCATTAAAGTGACATAAAACTGATATAAATATGTAATGTCGATTTGCATTTAATTGTAATGGAGTTACAGCTATCAGTAGCATCTGTGTCGACATGAATGTTCTTGTTTTTTTTAAGTAAATATTTTGTTCCTGCTTTGGGGTTCTTCCCCTCTCCTGACATAGTGCAACCCAGCCTGTACCTTTTTTTGGTAGACTTATCCAAATGGCAGTTCCCCTGGTTAGATTAAGGGCTGGATTTGCAGTGGGCATGGTAGAGGGAGACCCTATCACTCATAATTTCTGGGTGCTTGCCTCCATTAAAGGCCTGCTGTTCTGTGTGAGTTTATGTCCATTGCTATTTGGCATAGGAAAGCCTGGTGCCTACAATACTCTTATGTTGTGTTTGCTGCAATGGAGTAACACTTTGGAAGTATTAGAATGGACGAATGTTTTGTGAATACCTGGTTGTTGTTGTTCAAAATAGCATTTGTCAATATCTTTGCTGCGTGTGCAGCAGGAGATTTAGTTCCATTTGGCTTGCAAATGAGCTCCATGTAGCTGGAAAATTGGCATGTTCTTGGGCCAGAGTTATACTGTTACTCGTTCTGTTCTCTCTCGACCTGAGTTTCTTTGCAGGGCCAGATTGCAAAGAGACCTTGAGCAGGTGCTGGGAAATGCAGACAGTGAATTGAGAGTGCAGGGAAAGTTCACGCATTTGAAGGGCCACTGCAACACACAGTTGTTGCTCAAGGACCTTCTCTGCCCATGAGGCATGGCCTTCAAATGTCACATGGCAGGTATATATGTTTGCAAGTGATAATTAAAGCATAATGCTTGTGAGGAAAAGAAAGGCAGCGTGCCTTCTGTATGAACCAAATAACCAAATACTTAGACAAAAGGGTAATGTTGTTAAGATGTACTATTGCACCTTTTGCCTGTTTCCCATTGTCTGAAAACTTCACTTTGATTGCAGGATCAACTTTCTGTGCTGTATGATAAAACAGAATAATTTTCTCTTCTCCTGCTTCTGGCTAAACTCTCACTATTTATTTATTTTGAGTTATGGTGACTAGCTGCAGAACAAACCTATAATAATAATAAATAATAATTTTATTATTTGCACCCAATCCATCTTACTGGCTTGTCCCGGCCACTCTGGGAGGCTTCCAGCATAAAAAATAAATTAAAAAAACCCTAACCTATCTCATATCTGTAATTATACCACTATGATTACTTCCATCGAGTGGCCTGGGACATTTTGGTATCTGATACAGAAAATCTAGATGGCACTTTTGCTTCCACTATCTGGCATGCTGGGGAACGATATACCAACAGAAAGTTTTCCTGTGGAAACTTCATTGAAATGAGCAACTGCTCTGCGAAAGTGCTGCCATTTCTACAGAGCTTGTGCAAAAACAAACAAACAAACAAACAAACAAACAAACAAACAAACAACAGCTTCCTAGTGGTGAGTCAGATCTGTCTCTTCCATTCTGCCACCCTCAAAGGTGCCCCAAAGCTGCTAGCTGAGGTGTCTGCCTCAGCAGGGGCGTAGGAAAGGGGGTGTGGGGCAGCGGGCTGCCTCAAGTGCCATCATGGGTGTGTGTGTGTGACAAATTATCAAGGAACAATTACTAAAAAACTAAAAAATTACATTAAAAACTTCTTCTTTTTTTGAAAATGTCTGCTCCAAAGGTCTTATCTTAATGCACTAGGGATTATATAGCTACATATGAAATTCCATGCATATCAGTTAATATCTTGACCCTCCTCCACGAAAATAGCTGTTTACTTGGCCGTTTTCCTAATATCCTGAAGGCTGAAATTTCAACAAAGCACGTGCCTTTGCTAGACTCTTTTCGGGCACCTGTTATAAAAGCATTCTTCTTTAGGTAAGCATACCTAGATGCTTAGGAAGTTGAAGTAATTTTAATCTTCAAATTTTAGCTTTTGTATGTTTTAAAGTAGGATTGTTAATTTTTCTTGATTTTACTGCTGTGGTGCTGTTTTGTGTTTTTTGTTTTGTTTTGGTAAACCACTTTGCAAGGTTTTTTAAAAATAATTTTTGTTAAATAAATAAACAGTAAACATAAATAAAATAACACAAGCCAAAACACAATCCATCCTGTATATTTAAGTATCTGCCCATAGTCGCCTACTGTTGTTATCAGAGGCTCAGAATCCACATTCCTTTGTAAGAAAATATGAAATAACGTAAAACCATTTTTGCAGGCGAAAAATAAAAATAAAAAATCAGTGGTGGGGGGGTGACAAGAAATTTCCCACACCGGGTACCACCTGACCTTCCTACTCCTCTGTGCCTCAGATAATCTTATTGTCTGGTAGAACTGCCTTGGGTTCCCAAAAGCCTTATAGTTTTCCAGTTGCCGGGTTTATCCTGCGCTCCATATATCCACACTGTCCCATGATATGTTGTTAATTATATGCTATTGGTTATTAGAGTGAAGGAAAGCGTATTCCTCTTTTCTTTCTTTATGTCTTCTTTTACTCATATATATATTTACAGTAGGAAACAACCTAGCCCTCAAGCCATTGGAAAAACGTTCTGTTCCTACGGCCTTTCCTATCGCGTTCATGAGAATTAAACAGGTTGACAATTGTGACCGTGAAGCTGTTTTGGGACCACTCTTCTCGGATTGTTCTTTCAAGGCAGCCCTGTTCAGGGAAGTTTTTAATGTGTGACATTTTAATGTATTTTTAATCTTTGTTGGTAGCCGCCCAGAGTGGCTGGGGAGACCCAGCCAGATGGGCGGGGTACAAATAATAAATACTACTACTACTACTACTACTACTACTACTAATGTGCCCATTTAACCACCCATTAAGCAAAGGGGTGTGTGGGATGTGATAAGAACGGGAACTACTTCACAAAAAACGCAAGCAATAATCTGATGAATGAAGTTTATCCAGGGTGAAACCAGATTGATATTCTGCTGGCTTCTTGACTCTCTTAACAGTGGCAGGATTCGAATTAGCGTCTTCTAAAGTTTGAACCACTTTTCTGCCTTCCCAGCAGTATTGCCAACAGATTAGATTTAACTGCTGTTGTGAATGTTCTGTTTGTTGTAATTACTGTTTTATTTTACATGGTCATGGCTGAAACAGCAAAGGCTGGCTGAGGAGCAGGAGACTGGTGTCTTCTTTAGATAGGAAAAATGAAAATTGAGTTCTGTTGGTGGGGATTAAGATTGCGTGTCGTTTGAGTCACAGAGGCAGCCTAAGGGTCTTTGATTTCTGTCGCCTTTGGTTTCTTTGCTAATGACTCAGCTGTATAGTTTAGATAACTAGTTCATAGCAACTTTCGGATTTTAGTTTTGGTTCCTTCCACGAGGCAGATTTGGTTACAATGGTTTAGACGATATGGGACATAAACAGTGCAAAGGTAATAGAAGATAGCATATTCATTTGCACAAGAGTTAGATAAAGGCTACATGCCAGATTGAACGAAGCAGTTGAGCCGAAATTAATTACACAGGCCACAGAATGAAATATTAAAGCAACTATTGTAGGGATGCTAAAAATATTGGTTCTTGCCAAATTCCACTTTGAGCTGGCCTCCTGGTTTGAAACATATTTCAAACTTCTCCATATTGTGCAATGCAGTTCTTCACTCAGAAAGCTGCTTGGATTGCTGGCAAAACAGGGTTTGGTTTACTGCCCTCCTTGAAAAAACACCTCATATACTAAAAGTATCTAAAGGGCAGAGCTCAAATGACCTATACTGCATGATTTTATTTCTCATATATCGAGGCACCGGTATATGCAAATGGCTGGCTTATTTAAGACTATATAGAACCCCTTTTCTGAATAAAGGCAGGGCATACTTTTATTTTTATATATCTGTATCATTTGTAAAGGGAATATTTGCTATTATCCCTTTGGAACTGTGCTGTATCTTTGTATTTTTGTCCTTCCAAGCAGTGTCACTTCATGGGTTGAATTTCAGCTTTTTTTTGGTTACTTTCTTTTTGTTATGTTTGTACTTTTTTTTTTTTTGCTAACAAATCAATAAAATGTTAACTTTTTAAAAAGCTGCTTTTAAAAATGTATATTTTAGGATAAAGTGCCTTTAAAAATGCAGACAGAGAGAAATTATATGGCAAATTTAGGGCAATATAGGTTGAAAAGTCTGTGTTTAAATGGCATTTAAACTGATTTCTTTAAAAACAAAACAAAACAGAAAACCTTGCAGATTAATACGAAAAGAGAATGAAATGGGCTTAGCCATGAACACACGCAAGAATAACACAGACCAGAAATAAAGAACGCTAAGCATTAACTAATAAATAAATACAAATTCTGCTGACGTTAAGCCTTTTTTTTAAAAAAGTCCCACCAATTTCAATGCAGCATATTAAAAGGCATGTTTGGTACGCCCATTGAAATCAATGTTATTTGAAAGTCCTCAGCTTTGGCAGGATCATGTTTCATAGTACAGTACATTGATTATTGCTTTCATTTTATGGATTAATGGTCTTGTTAGATAGTAAAATTCATGTTAAATTGCTGTTTTAGGGGTTGTTTTTAAAAGTCTTAAAGGATTAATCCATTTTGCATTACTTTCTATGGGAAAACACACCTTGGTTTTGGAATGCTTTGGTTTTGGAACGGACTTCCAGAATGAATAAAGTTTGAGAACAAAGGTACAAAGGTAAAGCTAAAGGGACCCCTGACCATTAGGTCCAGTCGTGACTGACTCTGGGGTTGCGGCGCTCATCTTGCTTTATTGGCCGAGGGAGCCGGCGTACAGCTTCCGGGTCATGTGGCCAGCATGACTAAGCCGCTTCTGGCGAATCAGAGCAGCGCACGGAAATGCTGTTTACCTTCCCGCTGGAGCAGTACCTATTTATCTACTTGCACTTTGACATGCTTTCGAACTGCTAGGTTGGCAGGAGCTGGGACCGAGCAACGGGAGATCACCCCGTTGCGGGGATTCGAACTGCCTACCTTCTGATCGGCAAGTCCTAGGCTCTGTGGTTTAACTCACAGCGCCACTCGCATCCCTGAGAACCAAGGTACCACTGTATATAAAATAAAAAAAATAGACTGCTATGAACCCTTTGGGTGATCACTTTGATGGGGAGCTGCCACTTTGTTAATGGCGGCCAACATTGAGCTCTTGAAACAGCTGCCTCTTTGCCTGTCGTTGGACTGGCACTGTCTGCAGTTCTTGCACCAAATACTTTGGAGTTGCTCTACTGTTGAGTTCAGCTGGCTAACTGCCAAAGAAGTGGTTTGGGAAATGTAATATGTTGTTTCATGATAAACGAATGATTCCATTGCAGTGCAGTGTGACTTTGCCAACATTGTTCGATCAAACCCTCCACTGACAGCGCTTACGTTTTGCAGCAGAAGAAAAGAAGATGGAACAGGGCTGTGTTTCATCGCGGTCGGTTTTTGTGTGAGCGGGAATGAAGTTTGGGTACCAACTTGGAGATCAAAAATGACAGCTGTGACTGCTTTTCCGAGAACTGCTTTTACAAAACCGCAATCACAATCATTTACTAAGGCTTCCATTTTACTGGGGGGGGGGGGTGAATAAAATAAAAACCACATTTGTAAGTTTTAGTCACTTGTAGCTAAGGTTCCAGATGATATGAAGCATACCGTCCCAGAGCCCTTGTGACGGTAGAGAGCAGGATCTGAGTTCCGGTTTAGTCAATTGTTGGTTCAGTTCTGAATGCTCTTTGGATCATAGCTGTCAACTTACAGATTTGAAAATAAGGGACCAGCAGCCTTGAAAATAAGGGATCAGCAGCCAAAATAAGGGATTTTAGTCAACCAGCAGCCAAACGAAGCCTCAAGCGGTGGTTCCCACAGCGCAGCAACCCGGCAAAGGGGATGCAGCAAGGAAAACCACCGTCACCTCTCCGCTGGGAAGCGCTGAGCAATGCGGCCGATTTGATCAGCACAAAGCATGCAAGCTCCACCCCCCCAGTCGTTCTTAGACTCCTTATTGGGTGAGCAACACAGCCAAGCAACACAGTTGGAGACTCCCTCCTCCCTGGCCGGCAGGGAGGGAGGGAGAGGAGCTGCTTCCTTTGAAACCGGGGAAATTTAAGGGACATCATCAATAAGGGATAGCAGCGGGACACAGCGCTGGGATAAGGGACTGTCCCGCCAAATAAGGGACAGTTGACAGCTATGCTTTGGATGATTAATTGACCAAGTTTTTTTTTTAATTCAGTGCCTGCACAGAATACAATGAATTAAAACAGAACAAGTAAACCAGAAGATTGAAGGCATCCATGTCCCGACACCATTCTTTCACTCAAGGACACTGCATCTTCTTTCTGGCTTTAATCTAGTAAACCAAGGATGTGAGCAGTTCATCACAAACCCAAACTGAAAAGCACCTCACAAAACCGCAAGGACTTCATACAAATACCCACCCACCCATAAACTTCACACCAACACATGGGAACACTTCGCACAAGCTCACGAATACAAAAGCACACACCCAAGGGATTCACAAGTAAACAAGAACTCATAATCAGGGCTATTTTTCTAGGAAAAGAGGTACTGGAACTCACCATGAACGCCTCCCTCGTTCTCGTAGAGCGGCAATGGCGCCCACTTGAGAGGTGCCGGAACTGAGTTCTGGAGAGTTCTAGCCGAAAAAAAGCCCTGCACCTCATACTCATACAAATGCACAAGCCCTCACAGATTCATACATCCAGGACCTTTTTCCAACCTTTCATTCAATCATTCCTATCTATATCAAGATTTGTTGAGAAATAAATGAAACATACCGTATTTTTCTGTCTGCAAGATGCCCCCATGTATAAGACGCACCCCTTGCTCGCGGCAACAACCAATCGCCAGTCCACCCTCGGCAGTATCCGTGTATAAGACGCCCCCTGATTTTTGACCTTATTTTTTAGGAAAAAAAACTAGTCTTATAAATGGAAAAATACGGTATTTCATGTATGCAATTACGGCAGCTAGAATATTCGTGGCGAGAAACTGGAAAAGTTAAACAACACCAACAATAACAGAGTGGCAGACACTTACGATAGAGTATTTGCAACTAGCAAAACTGATGGGAAGAGTTAGAGGAGCTTTAAATCAGAAAGTATATGGAGAATGGAGAATATTTAAGAAATATTTAAGACTATACTGTACAAATAATACCATACTAGCAGAACTTGAATGATACCTGTAAGTAAAAAAAGTAATAAATATTTTGTTGGATTATATGAAAAAAAATATGATATAACGTAAAGCTGTGCAAGAAAACAATGACAGTATAAACAGTATAATGAGAACAACTGGAAGTTTTATATCCAATTTTTTTATTTGATTGTTATTTAAGAAGTTGCAGTTTCTTTTTGTATATAGTTTTTTCTTTTCTCTCTTTATCTTGACTCTTTTTTCTTTCCTTTTTCTTCTTTGTTTCTGCTGTAAATGATATTTTATGTCTGTATTTTAAACCAATAAAGATTATTAAAAAAGAAAAAAAGAAAAAAGAAAAATACGGTATGTCCGCTCTTTGCCTTTCCTAGGAACCTACCGTATTTTTCGCTCTATAAGACGCACCAGACCACAAGACGCACCTAGTTTTTGGAGGAGGAAAACAAGAAAAAAAATATTCTGAATCTCAGAAGCCAGAACAGGAAGAGGGATCGCTGCGCAGTGAAAGCAGCAATCCCTCTTGCTGTTCTGGCTTCTGTGATAGCTGCGCAGCCTGCATTCGCTCCATAAGACGCACACACATTTCCCCTTACTTTTTAGGAGGGAAAAAGTGTGTCATATAGAGCAAAAAATACGGTACATGTTTAAGGCTTGGAATAGATATAGGTTACCAACCAGACTTTAATATCTCAGAGCATCCATTACTTCTTGATCTCAGGATCTTAGGTATGTAACCTGATATCTGTAGCAATTTTGTATATTTTACTTTTGTGTGTGTGCGCAAATTATCTTTTAACGTCAGATTTTCAAATTCTACTGTTCCCCAAAGAGGGGTGTGTTTTGTGATCAGAGTATGGGCTATGTTCTTTATCTTTAACACTGAAAGTTGTGGGAAAGCCTGTTGCGTTTCATTGTTAAATGAAATGTTTTAGAGATGCCGTCTCTGAATAGCTTTCTTAGTCCCATTAGTCCATGATTAGAGAGAAGTTAAAGATTACCCATTAAATTTCCTTGTTCCATTTCCTTATTGTATTTTTTTTTAACAGTTAGATTCCTTTTAATTTCATTCCAAATACTGAACAATGTTTCAGTGCAGGGATTTGATTTAATTATTTCTTTGTCTGATTGTGTTCAATGCCAGTGCTGAGGATCTGTCTGTCTGGAACCAGTTTTTCAAAATCGTCAACATGGCGGCCTGATCATTCACATTTATACATGCGAAGGCCAGTCCACAATCCTCAATTGTACTGGATAATACTTTCCTAGCCACTTTTAGTTCTTTTCTTATTCTAGAAAAAACACACCAAACTTCCATTTTTGCCAGTTGTCAGTTATTCTGAATGCCTGCGGTTGATTTGTGCATTTCCCACTTAATATCTTTTTACAAAACATTGCAAAGAGGCAGCCAGCAAAGTCTAAATGCTCATATTGTTTTTCTTTGGCAATAAGGAGCAGTCGTGCTGGGCAAGACTTGTGTATAATTCAAGAGGGACCAAGGTGGGAAAGATTTGGTGGCTATAGAGGAGAAGGGGAAGGGCTAAAGAGAGAAGAGGCGGGGTTAGAAAGAAGTGGGAGGCGTCAAGTAGGGAAAGAGCTTAGTCAGCAGAAAAAGGGGCACTGCCTTAAGGGGCTCAGTGAAGTTCTGTCCCTCAAGGCCCTCCAAAAATCTGGATGGAGTTAAAGGTAAAGGTAAAGGGACCCCTGACCATTAGGTCCAGTCATGGCCGACTCTGGGGTTCTGGCACTCATCTCGCCGAGGGAGCCGGCGTACAGCTTCCAGGTCATGTGACCAGCATGACTAAGTTGCTTCTGGCGAACCACAGCAGCGCATGGAAACGCCGTTTACCTTCCCGCTGGAGTGTTACCTATTTATCTACTTGCACTTTTGCTTTTGAACTGGTAGGTTGGCAGGAGCAGGGACCGAGCAACGGGAGCTCACCCCGTCGCAGGGATTCGAACCGCCGACCTTCTGATCGGCAAGCCCAAGGCTCTGTGGTTTAACTCACAGCGCCACCCGCGTCCCTTCTGGATGGAGTTACAGGCTTCTAAATCATTTGGTTGAAGGGCATACAGAATGTGAGCTGCTCTCACCCAGTTTAAGAATTCTATTTTAGAAAGAGCAAAGAATAGACCTGGATTCCCGCCATTCAGTTCATCCCTGATTAGATTTGTGTCTAGCAATTATCATTGTATAGGAAGGAGCAGAGATGATGGATATTTGGCAGGCTCAGTGTTTGGCTTACTCCCATGGATGAGGCAGACAGGCCAAGCAAACACCTCAGCTGTGTCCCATGTTGAAAGGCATAGGGCTCAGCTAGGACTTAAGCTGAGAGTGGTTTTGGATGGTATAGTTGTGACGTACTAAACTACAGCTAGGTTGTGTGTGTGTGTGTGGGAGGAATCAATAGGTTCTTTCTCTCCCTTTTTTCTTTTGAAGAGGGTTGAAGAAGTTACAACAAGCTGCCTATTTATCCCAGTACATTAGAACCTCGGTTTTCGAACATAATCTGTTCCGGAAGACCATTCGACTTCCAAAACGTTTGGAAACCGAAGCAGGCATTTCCGGAAACATTTACGTCCAGAAAACTCAATACGGAAGTCGCGTGGCACATTCGGCTTCTGAAAAGTGTTTGAAAACCAAAGCAATTACTTCCGGGTTTTCTGCGTTCGAAAGCCAAAACTTTCGATTTCTGAGATGTTCAAAAACCGAGGTTCCACTGTAGATGCACTGCAGATGCTCAAAATGATGTCACGCGCATTTGCAGAAGCGGTGAAACTCGACCCGCGCACACGCAGAGGCACAGTCGCATCTTACGTTTACTTCAGGATGCGAACGGGGCTCTGGAACGGATCCTGTTTGTATCCAGAGGTACCACTGTATCACCTCAGGTCAAACAGCTTTTGTTTAACCAGAGACAAAAGGAAGGAGTTTATGTACCACAGGTGATGATGACTCAATCATACCACCTACAGCTCTCTGAAGGATAATTGTCTGTTGCTACCTAGAGTCCTTTTATTGCTTCTAGTATTGCTGAGTTCTACAGAAAAGTCCAGTGGCATCTGGTGGCGGCTGGACCAAGAACAGGACTGCTAGGAAGTTATGGGGGCAACACCAGGTTCTGATCATCTCCCCATCCTCCTCCTTTGCAAATATACGGTGGGCACCTAAGTATTGGAGTTAGCAACTGCCTAGTTGATATTGCATATATAGCACTTAACTAAACTGAAAGTTTAGTTCTTTGTTTCAGAAGGGGTCCCTTGCTTCTTTGCTGGGAGAAAAGTTGTGTGGCTGCCCCCCCTCCGCCTGTTGGGGTTCTCTGCCTTCACTCCTCCTTTGCAAAGAGGTCCTTAAACACTGCCATTTTATTAACATTCAACCGTGTCTTGCCTTGGTTCTGAAGGACTCCCTGCTGTCGTAATTGCTAGTGTGAGTTCATGCCACAATAACTGTTCATTAAAGGTAAAGGACCCCTGACAGTTAAGTCCAGTCGCGAACGACTCTGGGGTTGCGGCGCTCATCTCGCTTTATTGGCCGAGGGAGCCGGTGTTTGTCCGCAGACAGTTTTTCCGGGTCATGTGGCCAGCATGACTAAGCCCCTTCTGGCGAAACCAGAGCAGCTCACAGAAACACTCTTTACCTTCCTGCCGCAGCGGTACATATTTATCTACTTGCACTTTGACATGCTTTTGAACTGCTAGGCTGGCAGGAGCAGGGACCGAGCAACAGGAGCTCACCCCATTGTGGGGAATCAAACCGCCAACCTTCTGATCGGCAAGGCCAAGAGGCTCAGTGGTTTAGACCACAGCGCCACCCGCGTCCCTAACTGTTCATTACTCATTGGTAACCCCCCCACTTATTTCTATGGCATACAGATGTACAGTATTGCAGCCTGAATTGGTTAAAGGTGCCATGCAGGGTTATGAGCAAATGGAAAGGCTTTTAGGGCTATATTAAGCTCCAGAGTCTGAGATTCTCTCTTTTTCTCTTCCCGCTCATGCTTTACAGGCAATAGCTGCTCCAGGTGCCTGGAGTGCCCAGCTGGCATGTATGTGTGTTCAAAACTGGCTGCAAATGCCCCTGGGAGCGGCAGGTCATGATAACGTACTGTCTCATCTAGGGACAGTGATGTCAGTATTTTCACTGCTACTATTGCAGAGATCGGATTATCACATTTCTTACCACTGTGTGTGATAGCGGAAGTCAAGCCGACAACTTCTGCTCTTTGAGAGAGCCAGCATGGTGTAGTGGTTAGGAGTAGTGGACTCGTAATCTGGTGAACCGGGTTCGATTCCCTGTTCCTCCAAATGCAGCTGCTGGGTGACCTTGGGCGAGGAACACTTCTCTGAAGTCTCTCAGCCTCACTCACTTCACAGAATTTTTGTTGTGGGGGAGGAAGGGAAAGGAATTTGTTAGCCGCTTTGAGACTCCTTAGGGTAGTGATAAGGGACGCGGGTGGCACTGTGGTCTAAACCACTGAGCCTCTTGGGCTTGCTGATCAGTAGGTTGGCAGTTCGAATCCCCACGACAGGGTGAGCTCCCGTTGTTTGGTCCCAGTTCCTGCCAACCTAGCAGTTTGAAAGCACGTCAAAGTGCAAGTAGATAAATAGGTACTGCTCCAGCAGGAAGGTAAACAGCGTTTCCGTGTGCTGCTCTGGTTTCGGTGTTCCGTTGCACCAGAAGCGGCTTAGTCATGCTGGCCACATTACCCGGAAAAACTGTCTGTGGACAAACGCCGGCTCCCTCGGCCTGTAAAGCGAGATGAGTGCCACAACCCCAGAGTTGTCTGCGACTGGACTTAACAGTCAGGGGTCCTTTACCTTTACCTTTTTAGGGTAGTGATAAAGCGGGATATCAAATCCAAACTCTTCTTTGTTTTCTCTGTCCAGCGAGAGAGGATGTGTGTGAGACGCAGCTCACACAACAAGCCATGTTTCTTTTGCTGTAAATAATAAAATGCTTGATGCTACAATTCCTACACAATTCTGCTTTCGCTGACTCTGCTGATATGCGTGCACATGTCTTTTGGATGTGTGCCAATGCTTTATACAGGACTCTGACAAGGGAACCTCCCCATAAGTGTAGTGGGGGGAAAGATGGCTACTCAATGGGCCCATGATATACTGCCACTCACACAAGCATCTGCACCCCATTATGAATGCCTCAGTTGTGGTGGCAGTTGGGCATTCTAGCTGCCTGGAATAGCTATTACAGTGGTACCTCGGGTTACAGACGCTTCAGGTTACATACGCTTCAGGTTACAGACTCCGCTAACCCAGAAATAGTACCTCGGGTTAAGAACTTTGCTTCAGGATGAGAACAGAAATCACGCGGTGGCGGCAGCGAGGCAGCAGCGGGAGGCCCCATTAGCTGAAGTGGTACCTCAGGTTAAGAACAGTTTCAGGTTAAGAACGGACCTCCAGAACGAATTAAGTTCATAACCCGAGGTACCACTGTACTTATAAAACAAGAAGGGAATTTTTTTTAAAAAGGCAGTCCATGGAAGAGGCCTACCACCCACCCACCAGTGGGTGGACAAGGATGTTCTGATGTACATTATATTCCAGGAGAGGCAGATCAGGTGAATTCATACCTGAATACGAACTGACCAAATTCCTCATGCGTTTCTAGGTGACTCTTGAGATCTTTTTGCACCAGGCACAGATGATCCGGCCTTATGAATTCAGCAAAAATCCTCCTCCCATTTTAAGATTGTTATAGACCGAAAACGAATACTTTCATCACGCCAAGGAAGAGTTTCTTTTTTCTCTGCTCCCTTCCTTTTTGCTCTTTGGTTTGTTTAACCTCCTCCCTGAAGAAGGGATGTGGTGAACTGAGAGCTTACTCACCACTTTGTGAATTTTAGTTGCTCAGGAAAACTTCTATTATAATATTATATGGTGATATTAAGTCATATCATATGGGTAGCATTACAAAATCATTCTACAGCCAGTTGATGTTTTGAATATATGCCACGGTTCCTTCTCCCACTCTCTCTGTTTCTTCTCTTTTGTTACTGGAGTTGAGAAAGCAGATTGCTACTAGTTGGATGGGGAAAGAACAGCGTTTGCTTGAACTGTTCAGTATGCTAATCAATCCTCCTTCGTGCTCTTCTGAGAAGGGTTTGCTGGGTTCCTCTGTCAGTTGTCACTGTCCAACTTTTAAGGCACAAATTCCTAGATGAGCTTTTCGTGTTTGCTGCCTGTCCCCAAGACACTAATTGTACTCTTGCAGTCCTTCAGGGCCCTGTATTGATTCTGCCCAGCTGCTGACCTGTCATACACTGTCTGTCCCAGTCTTCCCCCTGTGGGCTCTGTCTCCTAATGCTACTCTTAGGGAGAGCTTTCTCTTGTTGACAGCGGAACAAATCGCTTTGAACAGAGCCATCATTCCTCTTCCCACTGTCCCTAACCCTTCTCCCTCACCCTCAGTGATAGCCATGAAAATCAAGCCTGTCTGTCTGTTTCCTCCCATGGGAGAAGCTCGCTCCAGAGTGCTACACCCACATTTACTGAAGAAGCAGGACCACAAATCCTCTCAGCTGAGCAATAGGTAAAGGTAAAGGTACCCCTGACCATTAGGTCCAGTTGCGGACGACTCTGGGGTTGTGTGCTTATCTCACTCTATAGGCCGAGGGAGCCGGCGTTTGTCCGCAGACAGCTTCCGGGTCATGTGGCCAGCATGACTAAGCCGCTTCTGGCGGACCAGAGCCGCACACAGAAATGCCGTTTACCTTCCTGCCGGAGCGGTATCTATTTATCTACTTGCACTTTGATGTGCTTTCAAACTGCTAGGTGGGCAGGAGCTGGGACCAAGCAACGGGAGCTCACCCCGTCGTGGGGATTTGAACTGCTGACCTTCCGATCGGCAAGCCCTAGGCTCTGTGGTTTAGACCACACTGCCACCCGCGTCTCCCAGCTAAGCAATACTTGTCTCCAAAAGCAGCCAGACCCCTCTGGTCAAAACCAGCCACTGTTGCCTGATGAAGGTAAAGAGGTAAAGGACCCCTGAACGGTTAAGTCCAGTCAAAGGCAACTAAGGGGTTATGGCACTCATCTTGCTTTCAGGCTGAGGGAGCCGGCGTTCGTCCACAGACAGTTTTCCGGGTCATGTGGCCAGCAGGACTAAACCGCTTCTGGTACAATGGAACACCATGACAGAAACCAGAGCGCACGGAAACGCCATTTACCTTCCCACTGCAGCGGTACCTATTTATCTACTTGCACTGGCATGCTTTCAAACTGTTAGGTTGGCAGGAGCTGGGACGGAGCAAAGGAATCTCACTCCGTTGCAGGGATTCGAACCGCTGACCTTGCGATTGGCAAGCCCAAGAGACTCAGTGGTTTAGATGGATCGCAGGGGGGGGGGGAATCCTGGGACTCTTTCCAGCTCTACAATTCTATGATTGTATGGCCACTTTTTATCTCCTAAATTTCAAATAATTTTGAAGAACGTCGGGCTGCTTTTTTTATGGCTGGTTGATCATGGGATTGCCTTGGGTGTGGGCTGTTAGCTGTTCACTGTGCACAAACTGTAGGCAAGTACAATAAGGGTTAGCTGATTTTCCTCCCAAGTAGCACTGATCGAAGCTTTGGGGGTATGGGTTTGTTCCAGGGAATTTTGTGTGTGTGCGTGTGGTTTAAAGGTTCCGTTGTTCTGGGACTGCTGCCATGATCCAAATTGCACTCCTTCCACCCACCTCCAATAGTTTTGTGCATTACTTGCTTTCGTTTTTCTCTCTGAAGACTCTTTGTGTGGGTGGGGGTTCCCTGATTCTTTTTGTCTGAATAAATGCATATGTTGAAACAATTGCCATAATTTAACTAAAAATGCAATACATCTCATCTTAGCTGGGAAAGCTGTGGTCAGCTGACCTGCTCGCCTGCTGCCACCCTTTGGTGCTTTAGGTTTAAATCTGTCTTGGAAAAGATACAGGACTTTGTCAAATAGAGGACCGTCTTCTACAAAGCAGGGCGTGTGATCACCCTGCCTAGAACGCTAGGCTTTTTTCTTACCTTCTCGCAGAGTTGCATGTCTGTAAAGCTCCCCAACACCTCGCAGATGCAACTTAACTTCTTTATTTTACTCTGCAGTGCAAAGCTGTTCGGCTGATAGGAATACTAAGAATACTCACCGCTTGGGGGAAGAGAGAAAAGATTTAATTATTTATATCTTTTGAATTCTCCGCTGACAGTTAAAGAGCTTGGGGGGGCGGGCGGGCGGGCATATGAAATGGAGACGTCCTTTCAAGCAGCAACATGGACACGGTGCAATGGTATGAAAACCATTAGGGGGCAAATCTACTTAAGACAAGCTCAGGTAAAAGCTCTCTTTCCCCGCTTCCATCCATAATAATTAGAAGCTTACGGGACGATCTCGACGGACCGGCTTAAAAGTTTAATGACGCTTTAAAATGCTTATACGTTGGACTATTAGGACCGGGCTTGTTTCTGATCTGGCCCTGAGAACGCTGGTTAACCAGAAAGAAAGGAAAGAGTTTTTATCGTACACCCACACATTACCTGCAGGGAAGCCACAAATGGTTGCTCGATGAGGGCTTGTATCATAGAGACAGATGGATGGAGGAAGTAATGGGAGAGAGGTTGGCTGGCAGAGTTAGGGAGCTCTAAAGAAAGTGCAGTTCACTTCGAGAATGAAGAAAGATCTCTTCAAGGAATGTCTGACAGCACAGTGATATTCTACGTGCAATTGCATGCACACATGCAGGCGTTATTTGGTGAGCCGTGGTCCCTTCTGTCAAAAATTATGAGGAACGGCTAAGGGAGCTGGGCATGTTTAGCCTGGAGAAGAGGAGGTTAAGGGGTGATATGATAGCCATGTTCAAATATATAAAAGGATGTCACATAGAGGAGGGAGAAAGGTTGTTTTCTGCTACTCCAGAGAAGCGGACACGGAGCAATGGATCCAAACTACAAGAAAGAAGATTCCACCTAAACATTAGGAAGAACTTCCTGACAGTAAGAGCTGTTCGACAGTGGAATTTGCTGCCAAGGAGTGTGGTGGAGTCTCCTTCTTTGGAGGTCTTTAAGCAGAGGCTTGACAACCATATGTCAGGAGTGCTCTGATGGTGTTTCCTGCTTGGCAGGGGGTTGGACTCGATGGCCCTTGTGGTCTCTTCCAACTCTATGATTCTATGATTCTATGATTCTAAAAATACTTGTGATAGTGAAAGTATTCTCTAACATCTCATGGTTGAAAACACCCAGCTTTATATGCCATTTACTACACCCTTGAGGGACGCGAGTAGCGCTGTGGGTTAAACCAAAGAGCCTCTTGGCTTGCTGATCGGAAGGTCGGCGGTTCAAATCCCCGCGACGGGGTGAGCTTCCGTTGCTCAGTACCGGCTCCTGCCCACCTAGCAGTTCGAAAGCACGTCAAAGTGCAAGTAGATAAATGGGTACCACTCCAGCAGGAAGGTAAACGGCGTTTCCGTGCATTGCTGTGGTTTGCGAAAAGTTGCTTAGTCATGCTGGCCACATCACCCGGAAGCTGTACGCCGGCTCCCTCGGCCAATAAAGCGAGATGAGTGCTGCAACCCCAGAGTCGGTCACGATTGGACCTAATGGTCAGGGGTCCCTTTACCTTTACCTGTACTACACCCTTAGGAGAAATCTGAGTTCTAAACCCAAATTGTGCAGGCCTCAATCAAATAGATGAGTCTGAACAGGCCGGATCTGAATCCTGAAAAGATGGAAGGGGCAGGGCCAGTCAGGACATTTCTGCTCTCCCTCATGTTATGTGGGTGTTGAACACCAGAATAGGACTTCAGTCAATTCTGGATTCAGATTCAGCCTATTTAACTTAATCTACCATATTTTTCGCCCTATAGGATGCACTTTTCCCCCTCCAAAAATGAAGGGGAAATGTGTGTGCGTCCTATGGGGCGAATGCAGGCTTTTGCTGAAGCCTGGGGAGCTTGGAGGGTCGGTGCACACCGACCCCTCTCGCTCTCCAGGCTTCAGGAAGCTATCCGCTAGCCGTGGGAGACGCAGCTCAGCACGCCCCAAGCTTCGGGCTTCGTGCAGTCCTCCGCTAGCCGTGGGAGAGCTGCGCGACTTCGCACAGCTCTCCCACAGCTTGCGGATAGCAGCCTGTTCTGGGGGCTGGGGTCGGGGGAAGCTCGGGCTTCCCCCGCCCCAGCCCCGCACCTGGGGGGGAAATAATTTTTTTTCTTTATTTCCCCCCCAAAAAACTAGGTGCGTCCTATGGGCCGGTGCGTCCTATGGGGCGAAAAATACGGTACTTCAATCACCCTGGGTATTTTATGATGAAGGTCATCCATCAATATATTAGCTGTGATTTTCCACTTGTTGATATATTTCCAGTGTGATACACACTTCAGGTTCCTCATTGCTAGCACACAGTGTGTTGAATGCACTCTTAAGAAGGGTCACGGGTGGTGCTATGGTCTAAACCACTGAGCCTCTTGGGCATGCCGATCAGAAGGTCGGCAGTTCGAATCCCCACGATGGGGTGAGCTCCTGTTGCTCTGTCCCAGCTCCTGCCCACCTAGCAGTTCAAAAGCACACCAGGGCAAGTAGATAAATAGGTATCGCTGCAGCGGGAAGGTAAACGGCGTTTCTGTGTGCTCTGTGGACAAATGCCGGCTCCCTTGGCCTGAAGTGAGATGAGGGCCGCAACCCCATAGTTGCCTTTGACTGGACTTAACCATCCAGGGGTCCTTTACCTTTACCTTTTTACCTAAGAAGGCCTGCTTTCAAGTTCTCCTTCCACAATTGTAGCTGAGTAGGGTCTGCCCCTTGTATGAGGTGACAAGTCGCATCCTCTCAGTTTCTTAATTTGTTTAATTGGAGAAACACAACCTGTGGGCTGGGGTGATGTGTAATGGCTAATGAGATAAACAATTGTCATAACCTTTGAACAGATGCCAACTTGCTTCCACATCCTGGTTGCAATCCTATGCACCCTCATTTCAGAGTAAGTCTCGCTGAACTCAGTTGGTCTTTCTTCTAAGGATGTATAGGGATAAACTGTGAATAATGTAATTTTTTAGAAGAAGCCCTTTCCAAATCTCTCTGTTCTTTTTGCTCACTCCTAGGCCAAAGTGATGGATACATTGCTCTCCTGTCTGCCTCCATTTCTTCTCTTTCCAGAGGTGCATGCTACCTTTGTGGCAATGATTAATTGCTTCCTGAAGTTAAAACACATGAATAAAATAATTTGCTTGGGAACAAGTTAGCCAGTCACTGAATACTTTGCTGTTGTTAATGCATTGTTGACCCTGAACCTTGCGGATGCAACAGAGCTCTCTCAACAGATTTACCAGAAAGCTTTTCAGCAAGAGGTGCCCACTGTAAATCTTTAAGTAATTTGATGCATGAAAGTGGATTAGATAATAGTTTGCAGTAAACCTTCTGGGCACAAGTCCTTTCTGAAAACCTTTCAACTGCTATAAATGTGGCATTGTGATACTGTGTTTTTTTGCCTGTGGTGTTCACCAGAAATTCACAGTGGATTTTATGCACTAAGTGATGCACACTGTATAAACATTACAAGAATAAACCTCAAAGCACTTTCCTTTCTTCGGGATGGAAAATCTTTAATGGGCAGTACTTCTCTGCTTTCCAGACTGATGGCTACACCAATCCTGCAACAGTTTTATCACCTTTCCACCCCCAATTCTTTTCTTCATTAATTTTAGGTATAGTGAATTCACCAAAGAGTGATTTATGTAGTGAGTTTTGGTGCTTAGCTTGTGGGTAGCGCTGTGGTCTAAACTACTGAGCCTCTTGGGCTTGCCGATCAGAAGGTTGGCAGTTCGAATCCCAGCAGTGGCGTGAGCTCCCTGTCCCAGCTCCTGCCAACCTAGCAGTTCGAAAGCACGCCAGTGGAAGTACATAAATACCATATTGGCCTGAATATAAGCCTTACTTTCCCCCGAAATTCTGACCGTGAAAAGTTAAAGTGTGGCTTAAATTCATGACCTTACAAAAATTGACTTTTACGATATCGCTGCTGCAACAGACATATGGTAAAACGGAATGGGTGTGAGTGCCTGCAGAATTTTAAGGGAGCGGCTTATATTCAGGTATTGTCTTTTCTCTACCCCCCCTTGAATTTTAAAAGTATGGCTTATATTCAGGTGCAGCTTATATTTGGGCCAATACGGTAGGTACCTCTGTGGCGGGAAGGTAAATGGTGTTTCAGTGCACTCTGGCTTCCGTCATGGTGTCCCATTGTGCCAGAAGCGGTTTACGCAGGCTGAGACCCTACCTGGCCGCGGACTGTCTTGCCAGAGGTGTGCATGCTCTAGTTATCTCCCGCTTGGACTACTGCAATGTGCTCTACATGGGGCTACCTTTGAAGGTGATCCAGAAACTACAATTAATCCAGAATGCGGCAGCTAGACTGGTGACTGGGGGCGGCTGCCAGGACCACATAACACCTGTCTTGAAAGACCTACATTGGCTCCCAGTATGTTTCCGAGCACAATTCAAAGTGTTGGCGTTGACCTTTAAAGCCCTAAACGGCCTCAGCCCAGTATACCTGAAGGAGCGTCTCCACCCCCATCGTTCTGCCCAGACACTGAGGTCCAGCGCCGAGGGCCTTCTGGCGGTTCCCTCATTGCGAGAAGCAAAGCTACAGGGAACCAGGCAGAGGGCCTTCTCGGTAGTGGCACCCGCCCTGTGGAACGCCCTCCCATCAGATGTCAAAGCGATAAACAACTACCTGACATTCAGAAGACATCTGAAGGCAGCCCTGTTCAGGGAAGTTTTTAATGTGTGACATTTTAGTGTACTTTTGGTCTCTGCGGAAGCCACCCAGAGTGGCTGGGGAAACCCAGCCAGATGGGCGGGGAACAAATAATAACTTCTTCTTCTTCTTCTTCTTCTTCTTCTTCTTCTTCTTCTTCTTCTTCAGTCATGCTGGCCACATGACCTGGAAAGCTGACTTCCTTCCAAGCATATAGCTGGGGTGACTAACCTTTGGCCTGTCCCGATTTTTCTCGACCACATCTCTCCCCATCTCTGACTTGTGGCCATGCTGGACTGATGGGAGTTGGGTCCAACAACATATGAAGGGTTGTGCTTTAGTATTTGATGCAATATTGAATCGTAGAATTTTAGAATTGGAGGTGACTCCAAAGATCATCTAATTCGATCCCCTGCAATACAGGAATGACAGCATATCGTAGCTGGCATGCAACAGCATTTAGTACCAGATTGTATCTGAAAGCTGAAATGGAACGTATTGGTAAATGGTAGATTTCATTCATTTTAATCCAGCACCCCTCCAATAAGCTTCTTGGATGCTGTACATAGTTTATCCATGACAGCTGTTTGAGGTGGGTTTCTCTGAGTGAGCATGCCTGGCCCAAGGTCATTGAGTGAGCTACATGGCTGAGTAACAATTTGAAAGCTGTCCATGTCCAACATTCTACCTACTATTCCCCATGGTGGTTCAGTGTATATTTGCAAAAACAACCAAGAATGCCAACGACTCTAAAACATCAGCATTTTGATTTATTTATTTTTAAAGCAAACATTCACATACAAGGTGTGAATTCAGATTTTGATTTTGAAATGGTCACAATCACAATCTAAGCCATGAAACTGGAATGTTAGTTCATACTTCAATATTTGCGATTATTTGTTTCAGCTGTAGTGAATTCACTTTCCTGATATCTGTACTGTGGGTTTTTGTTCCTGGGAATATCCAGCAAGCTCAGTTGATTGTGATCTTGAAGACTGCTGTAAATATGCTTTTATTCCATTAAAACCAACTTTTAAAAACTGCTACTGTAGAATCAGGACGCGGGTGGCGCTGTGGTCTAAACCAATGAGCCTAGGGCTTGCCGATCGGTAGGTTGGCAGTTCAAATCCCGGCAATGGGATGAACTCCTGTTGTCTGGTCCCAGCTCCTGCCAACCTAGCAATTCGAAAGCACGTCAAAGTGCAAGTAGATAAATAGGTACTGCTCCTGCGGGAAGGTAAACGGCGTTTCCGTGCACTGCTCTGGTTTTGCCAGAAGCGGCTTAGTCATGCCTCAGCCCAGTATACCTGAAGGAGCGTCTCCACCCCCATCGTTCTGCCCGGATACTGAGGTCCAGTGCTGAGGGCCTTCTGGTGGTTCCCTCACTGCGAAAAGCCAAGGTACAGGGAACCAGGCAAAGGGTCTTCTCGGTAGTGGCACCTGCCCTGGGGAAATCCAGCCAGATGGGTGATAAATTATTATTATTATTACTACTATGCTGACCACATGACCCGGAAAAACTGCCTGTGGACAAACGTCAGCTCCCTCGGCTAGTAAAGTGAGATGAGGGTCACAACCCCAGAGTTGTTCGCGACTGGACTTAACTGTTGGGCGTCCTTTACCTTTACCTTTTGACTGTATAATAGTATTATATTATAACTGCTATTACAATACAATTTTATTGTAAGCTACTTTGAGGAACTTACAGCTGAAAAGCGGCTTTAGTCAGATCCCGCCTTAAAATAGTAAATTTAACATCTGATGCCTTTGGCTCCTGTGATTCAGTTAACTTGGAGCATGGCTATTGGAAGTCTGAAGTATATACTCTTATTTCATTGCTATCTCTGGCACCCACTACCACCGCCAACTTGCTACAGAGTTATTTCACAGGTGGGTGCTGGCGTGTGGTTCTGTTTGCTGCCAGCAGAAAGCCCCTTGTGCTTGCTCACCAAATCTGATGGTTTGCTGCTACCCCTTTCTCCTTCTGGTTCAAAAGAGCAGTTACCAAACCCCTGCTATCTGCACGCTCCCAATAACTTTTGGCTACCATTTCCCAGAGTGAATGCAACGAACATGTGATGCAACAGCAGTTGAGGAAGCCGTTACCATGCCTAAAAATGGAGAGGAAAATGACTGACCCAATAGAAGAGAGGTGTATCTGTGTCCAACAGAATGGAATACAATGGTTCCCAGCTGTGCATGAGACAGACAGAGATTCCTTTTTATCAGCTTGACATTTCCAGGTGGAAGTTCTCCCATTGCTTCTCTGCTAAACAGATGTACATGTACCTGGGAGGTTGACACACAAAAACACTGTAACCTAATTGAATCCATCATAGGGCTTAACATGTACATCAGTGCAACTGATAGATTAAACAGCTAAACCTTGATTGATTGGTGGGAACAATTTTTAATTGATAGACGGCCTCGGTCCAGTATACCTGAAGGAGTGTCTCCACCCCCATCGTTCTACCCAGACACTGAGGTTCAGCGCCGAGGGCCTTCTGGCGGTTCCATCACTGTGAGAAGCCAAGTTACAGGGAACCAGGCAGAGGGCCTTCTCGGTAGTGGCACCCACCCTGTGGAACACCCTCCCGTCAGATGTCAAAGAGAAAAACAATTACCAGACTTTTAGAAGACATCGGAAGGCAGCCCTGTTTAGGGAAGCTTTTAATGTTTGATGCATTACTGTATTTTAATATTTTGTTGGAAGCTGCCCAGAGTGGCTGGGGAAACCCAGCCAGATGGGTGGGGTATAAATAATAAATTATTATTATTATTATTATTATTATTATTATTATTAGATTTGATAGAGCTGCGGCCTATTTACTATTTGAAGCCAAGGTATGTTAATTTAATACCACAATGAAAAGCAAACAGGAGCCAGTTCTTCTAACAATGAGCAGTAGTTTAACAAGCTAAAATTGCGAACATTTCCTGACCCTGCATAACTTGAGTAGGGTGCCTGTGCCTTTCGTTGCAGTGTGGCGAAATCATAGAATTGAAGAGTTGGAGGGGACTCCAAAGGACATCTAGTCGAACCCCCTGCAATTCATCCCTGACAGATGGCCACCCAACCTCTGCTTAAAAACCTCCAGTGAAAGATAGCCCACAACCTTTTCAAGGGAGTCCGTTCCACTGTCAAACAGCTCCTTCCGACAGAAAGTTCTCCATGATGTTTAGTTAAAATCTCCTTTGCATGTCAAGGCCCCCCAAGCCACCTCCAGCAGAATAAAGACACAAGGACACAGAATTTTAGGTTACGTGTTAATGGGCAAAATTTAGGCCACAGCTTTATTGGTTACAGAATGTGAGCGGTATTGGCTTAGGCACTGGCATCAACAGACTATATCTGACTCCTGCCCGCCTTGCAGGAAGTCTGGTAAGGGCAAACCACCAGTAGGGGGAGCCCCGCCGATGTGGATCGACTCAAGCATCCCCTGGGTTCTGGGTCGTGGCATGGCCCTAGCCCTTTCCCAGGCTTCGGACGAGATCCACACACCCGGATTCATTTAACGCAGCCTTTCTCAACCTGTGGTTCCCCAGATGTTGTTGAACTACAACTCCCATCATCCCTAGCTAACAGGACCAGTGGTCAGGGATGATGGGAATAGTAGTCCCAAAACAGCTGGAGGGCCAAGTTTGGCCATCACTGATCTAGACACTTCTGATACGTCGCTCCTCTTGTTGCTGCAGAGTTGTGCTGGAAGTAGCCATAGCCTTTTCAGAATTCCTACCTAAAAGGAAAGCCTCCAACACCCCCCTCCCTTTGGTCCTTCTTCTTTGGCGATCCTTCGTAGCCAAGTAAGATTGTCTTCCACGAACACAGTCGTGAGTCCGTAAGTGACTGTGGAGGCCAATTCTGGATCCACACGTCCTTCCACAGTGGGGATGTAGGTTTCCGGGCGGCAATTGATCATGGTGAGTGTTTGCCAAGCGTGCCTTCCTCTTAGCACATGTCTGCCTTTTGTCCTGAGTCTGAGCGTCTTCAAAGCCCGTGACACCTCTGGAAAAGGCTATTCTCCAATTGGAGCGCTTGCAGGCCAGTGTTTCCCAGTTGTCGGTGTTTCTACTACATTTTTTAGATTTGCCTTGGGAGAGTCCTTATACCTCTTTCGTTGACCACCAGCATTATGCTTTCCATTTTTAAGTTCGGAATGGAGTAGCTGCTTTGGGAGACAATAATCAGGCATCTGAACAATGAAGTTGTCATTGCTTCGACACTGATGATATTAATGTTCTGCCCATAGATGAACGTTTGGGTGTTTTATTTATATGTCCTATAGAACAGGAAGCATGTGGATGGGAATTGCATGTCAGGGATACAGCTAGGTTGTGAGTCGAGGACCCGCCACCCACATAGGATTATAATAAGACACAAAGACACATTATTTTAGGCCACAACTTTTATTGGTTACAGCATGTGAGTAGTATTGGCTTAGGCATTGGGTGAAACAGCAATACCAGACTCCACCCCGCTCAGCCGGGAGTCATATCAGTGTTAACAACCAATGGGAGGAGCTTGTTGATGCAAATACAACTGGAAGCAACCCCATGACGTCACTGGGGGTCGTGCCATCGCCCTAGCCACTAGCAGGGCATCAGACAGGATCCATGACCGCCGTATTCCTTTAACGGAATACCCAAAAGATGAGGGGTAGATGATGGCACATACCCAATCCTCCAACACAGCACACATATTCCAATGCCTAACTGCCAATACCAGAAAGTTGTGATGAATTGCTACGAGGTAGGCAAAAAAACCCAAGAGGCTGGTGCCAATTTGCCAAATGGATAAAGAAGTTTTACCAGGCCCCTTGGGCAACCAAGGCAACCAACCGAAGTCCATAGTAAGGTCAATACGCAAAGGAAGCTGACCTAAAAGGGAGGGAGGGAGGGAGGGCGGGAGATCTGATGCAAGCAGGAACCGACTGGGAACTGAGCGCTGCCGTGGCTGTTTAAATGTGGCTAGCCCCGCCCACCAGCCAGCCCTATTGGTTGGCTGGAAGGCTTGGCCTCAGCAGCAGAGGCAATCAGGAGCAGGGAGCCGAATACGCCTCTCTGCCACTGCGGGAAGTTGCTCCCGCTCACAACTCCTCCCCTCTGGGAGGAGGAGATGCCCTGGCAGCCACTTTCCAGTGTGCAGTGAACTGGAGAGTTTAGAAGAGCATTGCCATGTGCACTCTGTCCTGCAGTCTGAAATGGTTTTGCTCCCTCTGAGAATGAGGCCTTTGACTCCTGTAAGTCCACCTCTCTGGATGAATTTGCACAAGGCCTGGAAGAGGAGAGGCCTCGGATCATAGTTGACCACCTCACTTCCAGGCTAGTTGAAACTGGGGGACAATTGCACTGGGATGTTTGAGGATGATGTGGTAAAAGATGTTCAGAGGCGCACTGGAGGAGAAGCAGCAGACGAGAATGTGGAGCAGCCTTTCAAATCACAAGGAGCCGAGAACATTGACATGAAGGTGTGCAGAGTAGCAAGGGCTTGGGGTGTTTGGGAAGGTACTTGGCAGGTAGCTATGAATTTCAAACCAGGCAGAGATCAGAACAGTATGTTTCCAGCCGTTTGTAAGGATCTACAACTTGGAATGATTGGTGGGGAGACACAAACACTGCTTGCCTTAAAATCACAATCTGCAAATTTTAGTGGGAGTATCATTTTGGGGAGTACCAGACTCATCCCTGGAAGAAAAAAGGGAACTCTGACCCCAGCGTCATGACGGTTTGAAGGCCATCTCAGAGGGGGAAATGCAGGATGCAGTGACTAAACCCAAAAGTATCTTGGAAGATGCTTCTTTCACATTGTCAAGAAGTTTAGTTTCCAAGAAAAAATATGTACCGGCCAGTTCATACATTCTACCACAATGATTTTCAACTGTGTTCCAAAAAAACTTATTGGATGGTCCTTCAATGGGAAGTTCACAAATGGCAGGCAGAACTTTCCGAGGAACTGTAGCAGAGTGCTGGGTGTGTTCTATGGCATACTCTTGGCTCAGGGCATTTGATGGGACAGAGTAAGGTGGTGGCAAAATCAGGAAGCCCCAGGTTGGCATCACCATCTGCCACTCTGCTTCTCTGCCCCAATCTGCCACACTCCACTCTGCTGATGCATCTGCTGATTTCCAGGAGTATTTAAGCGATTGGGTTACCGTATTTTTCGCTCTATAAGACACACTTTTTCCCTCCTAAAAAGTAAGGGAAATGTGTGTGCATCTTATGGAGTGAATGCAGGCTGCGCGGCTATCCCAGAAGCCAGAACAGCTAGAGGGAGTGCTGCTCAGCGCTCCTTCTTGCTGTTCTAGCTTCTGGCTTAGCCGCGGGAAGCCTCTGCAGGGCACAGGGATCCTTCATCCCGCTGCCCTGAGGACGCTTCGCAGGCTATCCCAGAAGCCAGAACAGCTAGAAGGAGTGCTGCACAGTGCTCCCTCTAGCTGTTCTAGCTTCTGGCTTAGCGACACAAAGCCTCCGCAGGGCACGGCAACCTTCATCCTGCTGCCTGCAGTGGCTTCACGCAGCTATCCCTGGCTTTTGCGGGAGGTGGGGGAAGGGACAGAGCTCGCGACTCTGTCCCTTCCCCCACCTCCCAGAAAAGCCCCCAAAGCCGCACTCCCTTTAAAGAGCCGCGCAGAGCGTGTGTGCTGCTCTTGGGGGCTTTTCCCCGAGGAGGGAGAAAGGCCGCCTGTCAGTGAGGGGCTGCCCTTCTCCCTCCTTGGGGAAAAGCCTGCAAGCGCTGCACACATGCTCCTCGTGGCTCGTGAAAGGGAGCGCTGAGCAGAGCCTGGGACGCATACAGGCTCTGCTCAGCGCTCCCTTTAAAGAATATTTTTTCTTGCATTCCCCCTCTAAAAACTAGGTGCGTCTTATGGAACGAAAAATACGGTAACTTGGAAGCTTCTTCCTCAAGGTAGAGCATTTAAAAATGGCTGGTTTATAACACGAAAGAGCTTGGTCTTACAAACTTCTGTATCTTGACTCTGATTTTGACCTTGATTTTTTTTTTTTTAACCCACTCCCGCAAGCTGGATAACACCACTTTCTGGTTTCCCCTCTTTCTCATAACTTACTTCATTTTTATTTCTTTTCTATCCTTTCTCTCCAGTTTCTTGCTTTGTCTTCCTCCTGCTGAGCAACTATTTGAGTCAGACAACATAAACACCCAGGAAAAACCTTGCAACTGCACATGGTCAGAGATAACTACTGAATGGATGCAGTATTATAAATTCAAAAACTTAGCCAGATTCCCCATATGTGTGCCATTGCTGAATACAATAGGAAAAATGCAAACAGAACAGTTGTGAAAGCATGGGCTGTGTGGGTATATGTTGAGTCTTGTGATCACTCGTCATTATCCAGATTAATATTTTCCCATCAGTCTTTAGTTATACTGTAGCACTAATCATTTCCAAATGGTTCCGCTGCTCCTAGAAATCTGAGCAAGTGCTATATTTGGCCGGGCTGCTCAGTAGTTAAAGAGAATTTACAGTTCCAAGCCGGATTTGGGAATAGAGTACAGGATATTGGGGAGCATCAGTTAATGTCACGTATAATATAACAACCTTACCTAATCAAGTTACAGATTAAAAGGAGATTGCCAGACAGGACCAACAGCAGCCTAAAGTATCCTTGGTATTTCTTCCCTTTTACTTCCTTTTTTTATTTTAAAAAATCACTTTAGGATTAATACAGAATCTAGCTAAACTTTGGAAAAAATAATACAAAAAATAGAATCACATTCTGGTTTGTTTTAGACTGAAACATCACTCATTTATTGTGGGTGTGCTATGCGTTGAGGGTCTACATATTGCATATTGCAATGGGCTTCGAGATGCGTTGCAGATGTACACACCATGAGACAGGCATACATGGAGACTAGGCCACCTACTGGTTGCATTTCTGTTTCATATTTTTGAACCCCCAAACCAGGATCAGGAATGAGACCCCCATTTGTTACTTCCCTCCTTCCGCATCCCTTTCCTGCTTCCCCCACTTGCGTTGCTTACAGAAATTCTTCCCAATTTGATCATACCAAAGTTTGCTATCATGTCCAAGGAAATCCTCTGAACTAGGATTGCAAATCTCAGTTTGGACAACTCGCTCAAACTGCAGTTTGCAAGCTCCGATGCAAGAGTAAACTGTGGTTTGAGCAAACTGGAAGTGTTCCATGAAGCTAAAATAAAACCGATTATGATAAGCTGGTGAAATTGAAAAAATATTTTTGTTGCTTGTTTACCTTATGATAGAATTGTTAAGATGTTTATTAGACCTGTTTACATGATTTTGTAATTTTTGTATACAGTATTGTCTTTCTGTCTTTAAGTTTATTACTTTGTTCTGCATTCCGGGATTGAAAGCATTCCATGAAGAGTGGGCTATCAACACTGCAAATAAATAAAATAATAAGTGGATAAATATGTGAGGGTACAAGGGAAGAGGTGAGGGTGAAGGGGCTAGGAAAACTCAGGTCTTGTTTCTGTTCCTGGCCAACCATGGTTGGGATTGGAGGGCTAGAAATGTGTTGTCTGAATGAAGTCACTATCTTGCACAATGGGTATATTTTGGCTTCAACTCTTGAATCAGCTGTTCTTACAAAGTCAAGCAACATAGGATATCTGCCCAAGCTGGCTGTTCACTGGCATTGTGGGTGGGCAGACTCCTTACTTTTCACTGGGAGTCGACATCATTAAGTTATCATTTTGTGACTGAGTCTGGAAGAGGGAGAAATACTCTGTAGTGATCTTGTAACAAGTATTATAGTGTTTAACATTTTGCTTTTCACATCCTCTGCTTCTGGAGATAAATTTAGTGGGATTTTTTTTAAAACCTTCCAAGGACACCTTTGAATTATGCTGTGAGTTTTGACACCAGTTGTACATATTTAGCAGTGTATTCCTATTCTTTGTTTCATTTTTCTTCTTCTAAATTCCACCTAGATAATTTCAAACCTGGCATGTTTTATGTCTCATAGCACCCCTTTAGTGGGCAGAGCACCATTTCATATTGGTAGTTATATTTGAGCAGAACAGTAGTAGTAGTAGTAATAATAATAATAATAATAATAATAATAATAATAATTTATTTATAGCCCACCCATCTGGCTGGGCTTCCCCAGCCACTCTGGGCGGCTTCCAACAAAATATTAAAATACAGTAGCAACAAGTAGGTTTGACTTCCAAATGCAAAATCCCAAACACACGCCTCATTCTATCTTGGCTCTTTCCCTTGTGATTCTTGTGTTTTTAGAAATAAAATTGGTTGGTTTTATAGTTTAAATAGCAGCATTAAAAAGCCTGGAACCTGGACCAGGCTCACCACTGCTTGCTTGAAAAGGTAAATATAGGTCCTTTTTTAAAAAAGAGAAAGGTTCTATACTTGCAGTTTCTTAATATTTACAAGGATGGCTTTGGATTCTAAGCCTACATGGTAGAAGCTGGTTTCGTAGCTGATTCGTGCAAGAGGGAGAGAAGGGAGAGCAAGCTTGGGGGTTATCGGTTAGTCTCAACCCTGCCCTCTACTAAATGGAAACATGCAAGGTTGCTTACACCCAACAGTGAGCTCACTGTTATATGGTCCTTGCAGACTGCCATTTGTGATGCGTTTTTAGGCACAGGCCTGTGCTTTATAGGGCCATGTCCTCCCCCCGCAATGCTTTCCCTATGAAAACCCACTCTTCACAACTCAACTAGACCTAATGGCAAATGGGAGCAAATATGAGGAAAACACAAATTGCTGTTTGTTCCAATTTGGCATTAAAGAGCAGGGAGAAAGCTCTATGGCAAAAAAACAAAACAAAAACCCAACAGTGTTCGGACACAGCGCTTTAAAGCATGGACCTGTGCCTAGAAAGTGCAGAGGAAAATGTAAGTGTGGATGAGATAGATTATAAGCAACGTTATACACTTAGGCAGGAATAATGAGCCACACAAAAATAAGATGGGGAACACCTGGCTTACCAGTAGTACATGTGAAAAGGATCTAGGGGTCTTGGTGGACCACAAACTTCACATGAGTCAATAGTGTGCTGCAGCATCAAAAAAGGCTAATGCTATTCTAGATGAATCAACAAAAGTAAAAGGTAAAGCTAAAGGACCCCTGGATGGTTAAGTCCAGTCAAAGGTGACTATGGGGTTGCGGCACGCATCTCGCTTTCAGGCTAAGGGAGCCAGCGTTTCTCCGCAGACAGTTTTCCAGGTCATGTGGCCAGCATGGCTAAACCGCATCTGGAGCAACGGGACACTGTGATAGAAACTAGAGTGCACGGAAACACTCTTTACGTTCCCGCCACAGTGGTACCTATTTATCTACTTGCACTGGAGTGCGTTCGAACTGTTCGGTTGGCAGGAGCTGGGACAGAGCAACAGGAGCTCACCCCATCATGTGGATTTGAACTGCCAACCTTCTGATCAACAAGCCCAAGAGGTTCAGTGGTTTAGACCACAGCACCACCAGCGTCCCTGTCAATAGAACTGGACACTTCCAGTTCAAGGGAAGTAATGGTTCCACTCTATTCTGCCTTGATCAGACCCCACTGGGAATACTGTGTCCAATTCTGGGCACCACAATTTAAGAAGGATGTTGACCAGCTGGAACATGTGCAGAGGAGGGCAACCAAAATGCTCAAGATCCTGGAAATAATAATAATAATAATAATAATAATAATAATAATAAATATTATTTATATCCCGCCCTCCCCAGCCGAACCCGGGCTCAGGACGGCTAACAACAATAAAATAGTACAGGATTCTAAAAACATTTCATTATAAAAATTAATTAAAATCAAATTGTTGGCAACCGTTAAGCTAAATTCTGTGGAGATTGCCAAAGGAGGGAGTCAGGCTGCGCCCTGACCAAAAGCCTGGTGGAACAGCTCTGTCTTACAGGCCCTGCGGAAAGATGTCAAGTCCCGCAGGGCCCTAGTCTCTTGTGACAGAGCGTTCCACCAGATTGGAGCCACAGCCGAAAAAGCCCTGGCTCTAGTTGAGGCCAGCCTAACCTCTCTGAGGCCTGGGACCTTCAGGATGTTTTTATTTGAAGACCGTAAGTTCCTCTGTGGGACATACCAGGAGAGGCGGTCCCATAGGTACGAGGGTCCTAGGCCGTATAGGGCTTTAAAGGTTAAAACCAGCACCTTAAACCTGATCCTGTACTCCACCTCCACAATTCAAGGAGGAATTGGGTAGGACTCAAACCAATGGGGGACGCAGGTGGCTCTGTGGGTTAAACCACAGAGCCTAGGGCTTGCCGATCAGAAGGTTGGCGGTTCGAATCCCCGTGATGGGGTGAGCTCCCGTTGCTCGGTCCCTGCTCCTGCCAACCTAGCAGTTCGAAAGCACGTCAAAGTGCAAGCAGATAAATAGGTACCGCTCCGGCGGGAAGGTAAAAGGCGTTTCCGTGCGCTGCTCTGGTCATGCTGGCCACATGACCGGGAAGTTGTACGCTGGCTCCCTCAGCCAATAAAGCAAGATGAGCACCGCAACCCCTGAGTCGGCCATGACTGGACCTAATGGTCAGGGGTCCCTTTACCTTTACAAAATCAATGGCTTCAAGTTCAAAGCCAGGGAAGGAGGTTATTTGTAAATAACATGCCTGCACTTGTGTGGTTCACAATTATAAAACACTGCTAGACGGCATCAGTTTCATAACAGAGTCTTGACCTTGCATGAGGTGGTTGATGTGTGAGCCTCACAGGCCGGGGTTTCCTACCTAGAAAGTATTGCGGCTTTTGAGAATCCAGAAGTTGCTCTTGCTCTTTGAGAAGCTGTGCTCAACTGAAGTATAGTAGGCCCAGTTTTTCCCTGCATGCAGTTACACGAGTGAAAGAATGGAAGAAGACGTTTGCCTTTGTCAGAGATTGCAAGATAAACTCTTCCTGGTGTTGGGCAGGAAATGGTTGCTAGGCATCTTCGAAGGGCATCTTTTCCTGAAGTGAACAAGGCAGGCCTTCGTTGCACCAGGTGTGTTTGTGAGGCTAGTTTTTGGTGTCGTGCTCAACGTTCATGTTGCCATCCATGCAGAATGGAAAACATTACGCAACTTTACATTATTTAGCTAGCAGTTAATTGGTATGATCAATATTTGCCTTGTAAGCTGAAATTATGGGAAAGAAAGATTTAGGAGAATCAGAAATTAATGGGGCCTGTTTTGACACAGATACCATGGAAAGAAACCTTTCCTTTGCTGAACAAATATTTGCAGAGCAGAAGCAATAAAACGAATAGGTTTAAAGGTAATATCCTCTCTCTGAGTTGCTTGTATGAACAGTCTTTACATCTCACGCAACAATAAAAGGACCAAATTCTTCATCCTGGTGGCATAGACAAACTCACACTGCTCATCACTGGTGCAAGTTGCTCTCCTCTGGCTTTGAACAGCTATAAAATAGGGCTGTCCATATTCTGTACACACAATCACAGATCCCAAATTTTCAATAAAAAATAGTGAAGAGTTGTGCTACTTCAAAGATTAAGAGAGCTGTTCTGTGATAAACTTCCATGGATTACACTCCATTTCATGAGATACATGAAGTGTTATTCTGAATTTCAGCATAACCCATGATTGGTAGGAATTATAAACAGCAAGGTTGGGGGAAATGAAATACAAAAAGTACATACCGGAATAATTATATTATTAGCAGTCATTCACAGAACAGTTTTCAATGACATCCAGGCACATAGAGTGTGGTTGAATTAAAAAACTCATCTTTTTCTGATTCAAGCTACAGGTGATAGAAATGAATTCAGTGATTTCCTATTGAATCCTCCCTTTGAATTATATGACATCATGATCAGGCGATCAGTCATTTTATTTGCATGCAGCCTTTCCAGAGTTAAAACCTTATTCAAGGCGGCTTACAACATATTAAGGAAAGACAAACATAACAAACATCCAAGAGGGCACAACCAACTGAAACAATTTCTACATAAATCATAAGATCCAAAATAAAGGTACAAAAAATTAGCAGCAGCAGCAATCACCTGTCCCCCACAACAAAACCACCTAAACTGTACACCAGGGGTCAGCAAACATTTTCAGCAGGGGGCCGGTCCACTGTCCCTCAGACCTTGTGGGGGGCCGGACTATATTTTGAAATAAAAATAAAAATGAACGAATTCCTATGCCCCACAAATAACCCAGAGATACGTTTTAAATAAAAGCACACTGATTCCCGGACCATTCACGGGCCGGATTGAGAAGGCAATTTGGCTGGATCTGGCTCCCGGGTCTTAGTTTGCCTACCATGCTGTACAGTACACTATGCTCTGTTCAGTTCTGTTATGTGTGGATTGAAGCAGGACAAAGTGTTTATAAAGAAAAGAGGGAAAAAGAAATCATATTATTGGTGTCTCCCCCTGCCACCCAACACAGAACACACTTTCCTAGGTAACTCTGCTTCCTGGACTAGTTTGATTTGACTAATTTGGCTAACTGTTGTTGTTTTTTTAAACTTTTTTTTAAAAAAACAGATCCTAAGCTGTTATAATTTAAGAAATAGAACCTCTTTTGATGACACTTCTTGCATCTCTAGTCTTCGTTATGGGCACGAGGCAACGCCAGCACATCTGAGTCATAACCAACAACTGCTCTGCGTAATGTGACCTTTGAGTTTGGTCGCCTTTGAGTTTTGTGCAGCATGTACCACTAGCAACTCTTGCATCGTTCATCCCACGAAGTACAGTTACACATGTGACGGCAAGCTTATCGTGAGACTATCTGACTGTGTTTGAACGAAAATCTGTCTGTACCAAAGAATACAGTGGTGCCTCGCAAGACGAAATTAATTCGTTCTGCGAGTTTTTTCGTCTTGCGAATTTTTCATCTTGCGAAGCACGGTTTCCCATAGGAATGCATTGAAAATCCAAAAGGAAACAAACTTGCAAGACGTTTTCATCTTGCGAAGCAAGCCCATAGGGAAATTCGTCTTGCGAAGCAACTCAAAAAACGAAAAACTCTTTCGTCTTGCGAGTTTTTCGTCTTGCGAGGCATTCGTCTTGCGAGGTACCACTGTACAGCCAAGTAGCATAGGTAGACAACAATAGTAATACTATGTGGAAATCTTTTCGCTCCATAACTAAGTGTGGGGCTCACTCAGTTCAGTGGGGCTTACTCCTGAGTAAAAATACAAAGCCCGTTTCCTTTTGGCTTAGCATTTCCTGGTCGTTCAAGATACATTTCTTCAGCAAATCCTGAGCAGGATAGAGAGAGCGCATGCATATAGATGAGGGAGCAAAGGGTTGTATGAATGAGGAATGCCTCTTTTGAGACACTTAGATCCACTGTCCAGTTGGGGTTTGGGAGATTCTCATCTGGCTTGTAACTGATACCACAACAGCTGTTTTTCATTTTATAAATTAAATTTTGAAAACCAGTGGATTGCACGTTTCGGCTATAGAGCTTTTAAAAAAAAGGAGGAGGATCAACAAAAATAATTTCCCACCTGCCACAGGGGAATGAGCTGATAAATGAAAAGATGAAAGATTAGATCATGAAGTCAGAGTCTAACTGGAAATGGATAACTCCATTTTACAATCTCAGGCTTCTCCCCCGCAACTCTGTTTGTCAGCCGCTTTGTTCGTCGGCTATAGTTTACTCTGATTCAATGTTATATTGCCCACTGATTTTATGGCAGCTAATTCCTATGGAAATATAACAAACCATGCCTCGTCCTAAAAGGATATTGCCTTTGAGCTACTTGGAATTATCAGTGATGGGGGACTAGGATTGACAAGGAACCTGCACCTTGAATGCACCTGACAGCTTCTTTACTGGCACACCTGTACACAGACTGAGCATCTGTAAAGTGCTATGTCCTTTTCCAGCTCTCCCCAACTGGCTTCCTGTCATAAGGAAGGGAAATGGAAGTCCTTGACTGCAGCTGAGGAGACAAAGAACCACTTAGACCCCAGTTGGAGGACTGATCTGCTCCAATATATCTACTTCCTACTAGCCACTCGCTCAAGTTATCTCCACCTAATCCCTCGAACAATATACCCAGCAAATAATACAGTTTGCGTTGCTTAATCAAAAAATGATACAGCCATCTGCCACCTCTGTGGGGGCTTCCAGATGGGGTTTTCTTGCGGAATCAGTGCCGCTCACGCGCTGCCCACATGACATCCTTGTCACCAAAATGTCAGGCCGCTTTTTAAAAACATTTAATTCAACCGCATTGTCTTACCTCGAACGTAACCAGAAGACTTTATAATCTGAACAACAACAGAAGGAGACATTGTACAGTGGTACCTCGGGTTAAGTACTTACCATAATTTGTTCCGGAGGTCCGTACTTAACCTGAAACTGTTCTTAACCTGAAGCACCACTTTAGCTAATGGGGCCTCCCGCTGCCACTGCGCAATTTCTGTTCTCATCCTGAAGCAAAGTTCTTAACCCGAGGTAATATTTCTGGGTTAGCGGAGTCTGTAACCTGAAGCGTATGTAACCTGAAACATATGTAACCCGAGGTACCACTGTACGCTCTTTTGTAATTCATGAAAATCTTTAATAATTAAAAGAACAACAACACTTAATTCAGATTTCCTCTTAACTCAGAAAAGCTGCTAACAAAAAACAGTCAGTTATACATCTTCAGTCACCACTGGTGTGGCAGATCATTAGAACATTTTTCTTTTTGCCATGTGTGGTGGTGATTCTAGTGGGTAGTCCCTATTTCCACACCCTTGATTCTCTTTGCTCCTCACTGGAGCACAACCTCGGTGCTTTGTGGCAGCCCAAACAACGTGAGTGTGCCAATTTCCGCTGGCTGCATGCTGGAGGTATGTTTGAACCCAGTGAAGCTATTCTTTCAAGATGTCCACATTTGTGGAGGGTTACCTCGGAGATAAGGGACGTGGGTGGCGCTGTGGGTTAAACCACAGAGCCTAGGACTTGCCGGTCAGAAGGTCGGCGGTTCGAATCCCCGTGACACGGTGAGCTCCCATTGCTCAGTCCCTGCTCCTGCCAACCTAGCAGTTCAAAAGCACGTCAAGTAGATAAATAGGTACCGCTCCAGCGGGAAGGTAAATGGCGTCTCCGTGTGCTGCTCTGGTTGGCCAGAAGTGGTTTAGTCATGCTGGCCACATGACCTGGAAGCTGTATGCCGGCTCCCTCGGCCAATAAAGCGAGATGAGCGCTGCAACCCCAGAGTCAGTCACAACTGGACTTTTAAAAAATTATAATGCAAAGGTCCCATGCAAGACTTCTGTATCAGAATTTCAGTACAGTGGTACCTCGGGTTACATACGCTTCAGGTTACATACGCTTCAGGTTACAGACTCCGCTAACCCAGAAATAGTACCTCGGGTTAAGAACTTTGCTTCAGGATGAGAACAGAAATCGTGCTCCGGCAGCATGGCGGCAGCGGGAGGCCACATTAGCTAAAGTGGTACCTCAGGTTAAAAACAGTTTTAGGTTAAGAACAGACCTCCGGAACGAATTAAGTACTTTACCTGAGGTACCACTGTACAGTGGAACCTCTACTCATGACCACAATCCGTTCCGGAGGCCCGTCTGGACGTCGAAATAGGTCGCTGGGAGAGGTGTCGTTGTGTGCAGGCGCGGGTGGCGATTGCCCGCTTCTGCACATGCGCAAACGGTGTCAACCCCTCCCACCCCGGTTACTTCCCCGGTGTCCTTTTATTTAAAATGCATCTCTGGGTTATTTGTGGGGCATAGGAATTTGTTCATTTCCCCCCCCCCCAAATATAGTCCGGCCCACCACATGGTCTGAGGGACAGTGGACCGGCCCCCTACTGAAAAAGTTTGCTGACCCCTGCTTTAGATCTTAAGGAAGGCTGAGCTCCTGTTCATTTAATAACTAAGTAAAAGAAGAAATTTTGGCATGTGTAAACCCCCACGGCAGCATACTCTTTCCCCAACCTTGCATTACCTCTTATATTTCTGCGTGCCATCCAGCTGTTAATGTTTTTATTAAATTTGTCTTGTTCAGCTGGTAAATGAATGTTCCTCCCTTATCAAATGTGCATATTTTGATACAGAAATAGAAATTTAAAAAGCTGGCTCTCTTCTAGTGGTACTGGAATAGTAGTAATAGTGGTAATGGAAGGTGGTACTGGTGTACAGCGGTACCTCAGGTTAAGTACTTAATTTGTTCCGGAGGTCCGTACTTAACCTGAAACTGTTCTTAACCTGAAGCACCACTTTAGATAATGGGGCCTCCTGCTGCTGCCGCGCCGCCGGAGCACGATTTCTGTTCTCATCCTGAAGCAAAGTTCTTAACCTGAAGCACTATTTCTGGGTTAGCGGAGTCTGTAACCTGAAGTGTATGTAACCTGAAGCGTATGTAACCTGAGGTGCCACTGTAGTTTTGCACCCTGCACTATGTTCAGGATTAACATCCCAAATGAATGAAATAAAAACACACATCTACCAAAGCGTATCTCTAAAGAATTCTGAGCTCAGCAATTTCCTTTGTGTACCAGAACTGAACTGCCAGCCCTTCCATAGGTGAATCTACTTGTGGTTATCCCAAGCTTTCTTCATTTTAGCACTATAATTTAGTCGGGAGATAGCTGTTCTGCTGCTGCTATTGTCCTGACTGAACTACTGCAAATCACCCAATTTTCCACTAGGATCCAGGTCTACTGACTCAAATCATGTACTACACAAAGTGATTTTGATGAGGTTTTGCTCAGTCTCAAATATATACAGTGGTACCTCGGGATGCGAACAGGATCAGTTCCGGAGCCCCGTTCGCATCCTGAACAGAACATTAGACGCGACGGTGCGTCTGCACGTGCGTGGGTTGCGTTTTGCCGCTTTCGCATGTGTGTGACGTCATTTTGAGCGTCTGCGCATGTGCGAGTGGCAAAACCTGAAAGTAATGTGCTCTGTTACTTCCAGGTTGCCGCGGAGTGCAACCCAAAAGTGCTCAACCTGAAGCACATTCAACCCGAGGTATGACCGTATATATTTATTTAAAAATTGCTATCAAAACACTTTCACTCAAATTCCTCACAAAGGTTATTTATTCCAGTTTTTTGTAATCTGTTAAAGGCTGTAATGTCAAGGCTGCTCTAAACACAGTTCTGTGTGTAATTCTTGTGTGCCTTCTTCGTCCCCCCAAAGCAACTCCCCTCCCCTTTGGAGGTTATGGGATTCTCCTTCCTTGGAGATTTTTAAGCAGAGGTTGGGTGACCATCTGTCATGGATGCTTTAGTTGAGATTCCTGCATCGCAGGGGGTTGGACCAAAGGACTCTTAGGGTCTCCTCAAAGTCTACCGTTCTGTGATTCTATGATCCGACTGAAGGGACACTCAGCCTCCTAAATGGGCCACTGTGATTATATCTTCTGCCTAATCATAAATCTCAGCAGAAGCAGAAGCTCTGAGAAGAGTATTCAAAAGCTTCTGGGGATACGTTTAAACTAGGACTTAATAATTAGCAAGGTCTGTTGGACCCTCATGCCACCCTGGAGGGGCATGTTTATGCTGTGCTATGCTGCAAATTGCCTGGGAGTAATTAATTCTGACTGCTAGCTTCCTCCCTGTTTTCTGATAATAAATTTGACTAGCAGTGTTATATTTTCCAGTTATCTTTGTTTTCTTGGCGACAGATTGTCCCCCCCCCCATTAAATTAAGGGGGCACGAAACTTACCTCCTGCTCACTGTAGCAAGGATTGTGGGGGTGGGGAGAAGTTTGGATACTACTGTGGTACCTTGGGTTACATATGCTTCAGGTTACAGATGCTTCAGGTTACAGACTCCGCTAACCCAGAAATAGTTGCTCAGGTTAAGAACTTTGCTTCAGGGTGAGAACAGAAATTGTGCTCCGGCGGTGTGGCAGCAGCGGGAGGCCCCATTAGCTAAAGTGGTGCTTCAGGTTAAGAACAGTTTCAGGTTAAGAACAGACCTCCAGAACAAATTACGTTCTTAACCCGAGGTACCACTGTATTTAGGGGCAGGCCAGGACTTCAGTCTGAACTAAACAGCTTTAGCGCATTTCATGCAAATGAAGAACCATAATCTTTCTAGGAAGTTGTCCTGAATGTTTATTTTGCCTTACTATGGTTTCAATAGCTTCTTTAGGTTTCCCTATTATTGTACAAACCTGCATGACTTATTTTACAAGAGAGGCTCATAGGACATGGGCTTACACACATAAATACCCTGCCCAAATGAGTAGGTATAATCCAGGCAATGGCGGCTTTATTGTAACATTGTCCTCTCCCTTAAAATCTATTGTCTGTCTTCAGCTGGTGTGCATTTTATGTCTTTGATTTGGGGATGGGAGGCTTCAATACCTGCCCTTCCACAAACACCTCACGCATATATTCTCTTTATTTTCCAGTGTGGTGAGTGCAGGAGTTCTTCCCAGCGTAACATGGCCTATTAGCGGCAATAGTGTTATTTGTTTTCTAATATTTCTTCATGCATCATTTCAAGCCACAAATAGGGAAACATAAAGTGGTTTTTATACAGGCGTTATTTCTTGTCTTCTTTGCAGTGCATCCATGTGCCAGGGCATATGTGCTTAAATTAATGGAGTTTTTCCGATATACCTAATTTTTGCCCTGGTAGCTAAACCTCTCAGAGCCTTAAATGTTGCGCTGTTGGCATGAATGGGCATGAATTTAGTCAAGGAAGGGATGCAGAGAAAGGGGTGGGTGGACCACAAAATTCTCCAATAAACCTGATTCTGCTGAGAATACATTTTACAAACATGCAGCTAAGTTGGCTCCTTTTGTTGAAGGGTTTGTTAAGCATTAGCTAAAGAATGCCATGGTCCAGCCTTCACGGTATGAAACCTAATTCTTCCCCTTTCTGGAGCCATGGCATGGGGTGTTTAATTTTTCTCTCTCGGTAGGGCTGCAGGCCCTCCGGTACTCCAGCCAAAAAACACTCATATTTTTGCAGGCTTAGCCCCTAACCCGTTGCCAGGCAGTAAAATGGACGTTTGTCCACCACGGGGGGGGGGGGGGGGGGGGGTAGGAGAGGCAAAGGGAGATAAGGGTTGTGCTAACAACCTCAGAAATTGTCCCTCTTCAATCTGTTTACTTGACAATGGCGATATTTTATTTACAGAAAGAGCACACTGCAAAGGTTTAAAGGAATGACTATGGCAAGCCTCGGATATCTAAATCTTGAAATGTTCCATTGATGGTTCAAGACTGAGACTATTTGCCTCGTGACCATGGTTGGAGAGGTTAAAGAGGGACCTTTTAATTTTGCTGTACTTTCGTTTTGTAAAAAAGAAGAAGAAAACAAAACAGGGAGACCTCAGCAGCAATGGCAGAGCCTCTCTGCCTATCTTGGGTCCACCCTTCTTAAAGTAGAACGGCTTTTTCAAATGTGTAGTTGTGAACCAGGGCTTTTTCCCCAGCCAGAACTCAGTTCCAACACCTCTCAGGTGGGCACCCTTGCCATTATAAGAGAACAAGGGAGGCGTTCATGGTGAGTTTCGCCACCTCTTTTATTATTATAGAAAAATAGCACTGGTGTGAACATATGCAAGTAAGCGAGAGGGAGCAGGATCGTGATGGCAGGCATTGCCCCCTCTGACATACTGTCTGCACAAATCCACAGCGCATACAAGTGGGACATATATAAGCTCTGTACAGTCATACCTTGGATTAAATGTGCTTCATGTTGAGCGCTTTCGGGTTGCGCTCTGCGGCAACCTGGAAGTAATGGAGCTCGTTACTTCCGGGTTTCGTAGCTTGTGCATGCACAGATGCTCAAAATGACGTCATGCGCATGCGCGGAAGCGGCAAAACGCGACCCACACACACGCAGACGCACCGTCGTGTCTTATGTTCCATTCAGGATGCGAGCGTGGCTCCGGAACAGATCCCATTTACATCCCGAGGTACCACTGTACAGTACCTCAGGTTACAGCCGCTTCAGGTTGCGTTTTTTCGGGTTATGCACCCACCGAAACCCAGAAGTACCGGAACGGCTTACTTCCGGGTTTCAGTGGTTGCGCATGTGTAGAAGTGCTAAATTGTGCTTTGCGCATGCGCAGAAGACCAAATCGCAACCCGCGCGTGCGCAGATGCGTCACTGCAGGTTGTGAACGTGCATCCTGCACGGAATACGTTCGCAACCCGAGCGTCCACTGTACTCACGGCCAAGACCTCTGTAAAAGCAAAAAGTATCCAGTGAGTTCTCAACCATGCATACAGAGCCTAAACACACACAGTTTGTATCTTTGCAGGGTCTGTGCACACAGTCTAGTGCAGGCTTCCTCAACCTCGGCCCTCCAGATGTTTTGAGACTACAGTTCCCCCCATCCCTGACCACTGGTCCTGCTAGCTAGGGATCATGGGAATTGTAGGCCAAAAACATCTGGAGGCCAGAGGTTGGGGAAGCCTGGTCTAGTGAATGTATGCTGGGGGGAGGGCTTGATAAGGTGATCTGCCCCTCCCCCTCTCCAACCCTGGCGTGATCCTCATATGCACCTTAAGAGGAGCATTGCCTCCCCTGCCAGCTTTCAAAGGAACGCTACAAGATTGATATAAGAATTCCACACTGTGGATATTGCCAACATAAGAACTGAATAGATTGCATTTCCTGATCTATCTGCTGGTCTTTAATTTCTCATAATATGTTTCGTTTATATGATAAGTTGGTCTATAGAACCATATATTTTGATATGATATGTTGAATCACATTTGAAAAGAATTACAAAAGAGCGTACAGTGGTACCTCGGGTTACATACGCTTCAGGTTACATACGCTTCAGGTTACAGACTCCGCTAATCCAGAAATATTACCTCGGGTTAAGAACTTTGCTTCAGGATAAGAACAGAAATTGCACAGTGGCAGTGGGAGGCCCCATTAGCTAAAGTGGTGCTTCAGGTTAAGAACAGTTTCAGGTTAAGTACAGACCTCCGGAACAAATTAAGTTCTTAACCCGAGGTACCACTGTACTGGAACTCGCAGTCACCAAATGAAGTTGCTTCGCAGCAAATTCCGGGTGGGCGAGATAATATGCTTCTTCACACGGTGCATAATTAACTTGCAGAATTAATTGCCAAAAAGACATTGTGGTGATCCTGACTTAGAATGTTTAAAAGAGGATTTGACAAATTTGTGGAAGAGGAGTGGTTTTCTAACCTAACAGCACTCCCAGATTGCACTCCTTATTATTCAAAGAAAGGCCCTTCCAGAGTTGGTTGCATATCACATCTCTGGCCAGACAAGCCACCAACCAACAGAACCTCTGCCCTGTCAAGATTGTTTCAGTATTTTTTTACTCTCATCTGGGGCATTATGGCTTCCAAACATGTCCCCTGTGCCATAGACGGGTGCTATCAGTGTATCGCTGACACCATCGCCATAGTCTCTGACTTCATTTGAAAGTTGAACACAATGGATACCTGAGGGATCCCATAATGTCAATATCAAGGGGCAGAACCGAAGTTGCCTAATATCACTCTCTGCAATCAATCCTCCAGATGCTTCAGGTTGCAGACTCTGCTAACCCAGAAATAGTACCTCAGGTTAAGAACTTTGCTTCAGGATGAGAACAGAAATCACACGACGGCCGCACAGCAGCAGCAGGAGGCCTCATTAGCTAAAGTGGTGCTTAAGGTTAAGAACAGTTTTGGGTTAAGAACGGACCTCCAGAACAAATTAAGTTCTTAACCCGAGGTACCACTGTACCTCCGATCCACAACCCAGAAACCCAACCAGGGTATTACCAACGCAAGCTGTTATTATCTCATACTCAAATTCACCTCAGGACTTACCAAATATCAGAAAGAAAGGTTGACGACGTTGTTTACGGTATGTCCACATCGTTGATCATTCCAACATGGTAAAAGAAGCATAAACGAACCAAAGTTTTATCATCGTTTTAATGTATTATTTCATTTCCTTTTAATTGTGCATTTGTGGTAAAAAAAAAAAATTAGATGGGGAAGTGAAACTACTGTAGAAGAAATTTTGTGTTTTGAAAGAAACTTATGAGAATCAGCACAGCAAGGAAGGAATAGGGTGTGGGTGGAATTTATTGTTTTCTCTTTGCCCGTCTTTGTTTCCTTAAGCCTTCAAACTTAATAAATGGTGAGTCCTTTGGAGACAGCAATGGATTCTGATGCAATTGCTATAAGCTGCCCAGAGCCCACAGGATAGGATCACCCACCAACTGCCTCTTTCTCTGGGCTTCTATGTTTTTCTAAGCACTGCACTGGGGGGGGGGCAGGGGGACCACCCTCCAAGCAACCTGATTTGGGGGGAGCAGTTTGTTTCTCCTTCCCCCCCCCATTTCCATTTCCTTTTAAATGCAGAAAATACATTATGCACATTAATGGCAGCTAAAGCTGTGGGATCAGGAGATGGAGGGAATTCTTGTGTCCGTCCAATATTTATCATGGAATCCCTGACTCTCCACAGCCTGTTCTGGAGGGATTTGAAGGTCATTATTCAAATGTGTCACATGCAACTATCATGGTAACAAACAACAATCTAGAAGCCCCTGTCAATCACGTTCCTTTCTGTTCTGTCATGTCAGAAAAATGTTGTTCGTTGGGAGGGGCAGCCCTGCAAATCCCATCTATTTTCACACACCCCCTTCCATCTGTGATAGCCTCACAATTAACACTCTGTGCCAAGGAAAGTCAGTTAAAGAAGGCAAATGTATCATCAGCCGGACCTGACTGCAACTCCTTCAGTTGCTCTGGATAGTTTTATATTAGGTGTTCGATTTGGTGATAGCCTGTGGCCTCTATCCTATCAAGTAATGAAATAATGAAATGAAAACGAGGCCTGGGGGGCAGAGAGGAATAGGCTACTTGACTTCTCATCTCAACCTCATGTAATTTGTGAAAGCGTGTTCTCATTCATGGCGAGCACGTGATGCGGTGGGGGCCTCCAGGACACTCCAAAGTTGTGGGGCTGGCTAATTGACCATTGGCCACTGATGCGATTGGGCTTCCCTTGTTGCTGGGAAGAAGTTAATGTTGCCATTTGTTGATTGGCAGCCAGAAATGCTAAAACTCCTTGCACGAGGCTAGGGCTTCCTCTTTTCGCCCGTGCATTGGATTGCCCGTCCCCCCACCCCACAGAATTAGGGTTGTTCGCTTTGACCTTTCTATGCCTGTCATGGGGTCGTCTGCTCTTGGGCCAGGGGCCTAGTAGGAATTTTGTCCATCTGGCTGATTGGCTGGAGCCATTTGGTTTTTGCCTACTGTGTAGCAAATCGTCACAACTTGTAAGGTTGCGGTTAGGCATTGGTTTATGGTTTGGTTGGTTGAGGGGCATGGATTGGCTGTGCCTGCCCCTCTCATGCTGCTGCTGCAAGGGATTCTGTTAAAGGAACCGGGGGCTAACTATTGCTTGTCCACCCTGTTAAGGGGGCTCGGGCCACTGCAAGAGCTCCTGGCTGCATTTGGGGAGGGCTGAGGGCAGGTTGCCTGCTCCATCACTACCCCCAAGTGTATTCCCCTTTTCTGACTTTTGCAGGCGTGCGGAATGTCAGTCTGTCCCCCACGGTGGGGGCAGATAGTCGCAACCAATGCCTAAGCAACCACTCACATGGTGTGTATTTAAATGAAGTTGTGGCCAAAATTATGCCAAAAACCTTAAACAAAAATTTTGGTGTGATGTGTGAGTTATTGGGGTGGCCCTGGGGACCTCAACACGCAAGTCACTGTTAGTGGAGATTTTGTAGCAGCACTTGTCCATCTAGGGTTTGAGAGGGTCAGGGAGGGAGAGGAGATAGATTTTGTCCTTGTGAACCATTCGGAGTGCTGATCTTTTGTCTCCAGTGTGGCAGGGCCCCGGCTGCATGAGCACTCATGTTTGCTGGATGCTCTCACTGCTGCTGTTGCCGGATCTCAGCAGACCTTTGAAAAATAGGACCCTCAGTAAGAGCAGCAAGTGTTTGCAATTAGCTTCCCCATATGGTGGGTTTTGTTTTCTGCATCTTCTCGGCAGAACAAGAGCCAAATATCTGGCATAGCACAATATCCAGTGTGGTGTTAGCTCATCTTACAAAAACCACAGGCTTGTCAGAGTTAAGTGGTGCTTCAGAAAGTCAGTGAAGGAATCTCCCATCCGTCAGTGGGTCAAGCTCATTCTCATGTCTCCTGTTACCAGGCAGCTCAGTGCTGTGTCTACCACAGGATCGTACCTCCTCCTGCTGCTATCCCTGGCCAGGACTGGAAGATTATCTTTTCTTCCTCCCTGGGCTGAATTTGAGATATGATGTGGTGCAGCGCCTTGCGGCTGTCTGTCTGCATTTTCATTGTTCTTTTCTTCCAGCAACAACTACTGGTGGTCCATTTTGCAGGGACAAGAAGCCCCCTTTCTTAATCAGCCCGGCTTCTTCTTGCTGTTTCAATCAGTAATATATTTCGATTTCTCATTATTGGGAACAATAAATAATCAACGAAATGAAGGTCTGGGGAGCACTTTAAATATGAAAAAGCAGATACAGTGGTACCTTGGTTTGAGAACAGCTTTGTTTATAAACAACTTGGAAGTAGGTGTTTTAGTTTGTGAACCTTGCCTTGGAATAAGAACATGTTTCGCTTTCTGTTGAGTGTGTTTCATTTGTAAATTGAGTCCCCCACTGCTATGGGGAAAGCACGCCTTGGTTTAAGAACGCTTTGGTTTAAGAACAGACTTTGGGAACGGATTAAGTTCGTAAACCAAGGTACCACTGTACATACCTTGGGGTAAGGCTGGAGTATTTGGCCTAAGCTGTTTTGGTGGGTAAGCTGAAAATGCACCCTGAGATTGGAATGATTTTGGAGAGCTTGGTGAAAACTTGAATACTTTTCAGGGGTGGGTGGCATTATTGACAAGGCTGCTTTTCCACAATGAAAACATTACTGCCTAATGTCTCCTCTTCTACCCCCTTGGACATTGCCATCAAAACTAAGGGCAGTCTACTGTGCTGCTCTGCCACAGTTTGAAGGAGGAGGAAAGCATTTTTACTGGATAGGGGGGCCTTCTGCTGCCTCAGTCATGGTAAGACCCCCACCTAATAGACAAGTATAAGCATTGTGGAAATGGCTCCACAAAGGTTTGTGCATGCTATGTTCAGCTCAACACTAATAATCATCAGGAAGAAAAAGGCTTACAAAAATTACAATAAATTATGCTCCCGTTACAACAGTTTTGGACATCTGCAGAATTATTACATATCTGGTCTTTCATCTTCAGTCAGATAAATAGAAAGATAAGCGAGACCAGGGACGGCACGGGCGGTTGTAAGTTTTCGTGTGCCACTGAGCAATTAGATTTATGTATTGCGTTCCATGTTGGATCCCTGCCTTCCATATAATGTAGCCCCTGTGGTGTAGCTTAACATAGGGTTACCAGACGTCCTCGTTTCCCAGGGACAGTCCCCAGATTTGCAAATAAGTCCCCAGACAAATTCCATCCCCGGAATGTCCCCGGATTTCATCTAATGTCCCTGGGAAACACAGCAGCGGCAGTCTCAGCAGCCCAGAGAAGTTGGCTCTGGCTGGCTTCAGGAGCTGCTCAGAAGTCCCCATGTGATGGTGGTGCAGGGGCTCTAAGATGCAGCTTCCGGGCTGCCTCCACCTTCCCTGACCCCAGCAACTAAGCTGTGAAGGGAGGCTTCACGCTGCCTACCTGAGCTTGTGTGCAAGCAGGAGGGGGCAGGGATCTCTCTCTTTAAAAAAAAAATAATATTTATTAAAGTTTCAAAGGGAAAAAAAATCACATTAATAAAAAAAATTAGCAATAAAAAAGAAAAATACAAAGTAGAAAAGAAAAAAAAACAGTTAAAAACAATTCCATCTTTTCCTCACTTCTTTTACATTTACTTGTTTCCCAGACCTCCTCATACCTCCCTCTTTTGTATTCTAATTCAATTGTTAATCCAACAATTCCTTTCCCTCCTTTTTACTCCTAATCCTTAGTCTTGATATATTGTAACGTTAGATTTTTACATATTAAAAACCAATTTTTCCATATTCTTTTGTACCCATACAGCTAGAAACCCCTTAACTTCAATCCAACATCATTCTAACATTCATTAATTTTACAATATTTCTGTAAATGGTCTTTAAATTTCTTCCAATCTTCTTCCACCGACTCTTCTCCCTGGTCACGGATTCTGCCAGTCATTTCTGCCAATTCCATATGGTCCATTAATTTCATCTGCCATTCCTCCAGTGTGGGTAAATCTTGTGTCTTTGGGGGCAGGGATCTCTCAGTTAGGCAACAGGAAGCCTCCCTTCCCAGCTGAGGGATCCCGCCCCCTCCTGCTTGCACGCAAGTAGGAATGGGATGGGGGCTGCTCCGATGGGAAGGGAGGCATCGCGCTGCCTGAGCCTCACCGCCACAACTGCTCTCAGCCCTCCTTCTCCGCCTTCCATGCCCACTGTGCACCACTTCCCCACCACCACCACCACCACCAAAGAACCAACAGCTCAGGGGCTGTCCAGGCTCATGGAGAAAGGAGATAGAAGCCTCGGAGGAAGGGGAAACGTGGAGGTTGAGGTCAAGGGAGCGGCGGCCCCTCTGCCACCGCCATCACTGCAGCTTCAACGTCCCGAACGTGTAGTATTTATTTATTTATTTTAAGTGTCCCCGGATTCATTGGAAAAAAAATCTGGTAACCTTAGCTTAACAACCCATCTGGAAACCTGATACTGTTTGGTATTTGGAGACAGAGATACCACGACTGGAGCCATGAGACCTTGGAATTGAGGTACCTTTGTCATTAAGGTTTAGCAAAGCTCACATTTACTCTCACAAGAGCTGAGCACTTGGAAGCAGCTTTATTTTGACTGGGCATCTCATGTCCAGGAATAGAGCAGGCATATCCAACAGGTAGATTGCGATCTACTGGTAGATCACTGGACGTCTGTGGTATAAAAAGCTCAACAACCTTGGCCCGACCCCCCCCCCCAACAGGGTTTTCCTTCCTAAAAAAAGCTTAACAACTGTGACTGGAACCCCAAAAAAAGGGGGTAGATCACTGTCAGTTTTTAACTCTGTGAATAGATCGCAGTCTCTTGGAAGTTGGCAACCCCTGGTCTACAGTAAAGATGTCATATCTCTAGCTAAACAAGCCTAGCTCTTGCAGAGTTTTGCTGTAATGGCCACTAATAGGATTGCTTAGGAAATCTCAAAAGAGATCCAAATGATTGAGATAAAGAAACATGAATTGACCTTTAAAATGGGCATCTTGGGTGCATAGAAGAAGAAGAAGATGAGGAGGAGTAGTAGTAGTAGTTTAGATTTGATATCCCACTTTATCACTACCCGAAGGAGTCTCAAAGCAGCTAACAATCTCCTTTCCCTTCCTCCCCCACAACAAACACTCTGTGAGGTGAGTGGGGCTGAGAGACTTCAGAGAAGTGTGACTGGCCCAATGTAACCCAGCAGCTGCATGTGGAGGAGTGGGGAAGTGAATCCGGTTCACCAGATTACGAGTCTACCGCTCTTAACCACTACACCACACTGGCTCCCAGTGTGAAGATTTGTCACAGCAGCTTCTGCGTTCTGGAGCAAAAACCTTAGGGCTAGGCCTAGTTCATTCAAACAGCGGATGAGGTAGTAAACTTCCTCCCTGGACAACAGGGATGCCAGCAAGATGGGACGCGGGTGGCGCTGTGGTGTAAACCACTGAGCCTCTTGGGCTTGCCGATTGGAAGGTTGGCGGTTTGAACCCCCATGACGGAGTGAGCTCCCGTTGCTCTGTCCCAGCTTCTGCCAACCTAGTAGTTCAAAAGCACGCCAGTGAAAGTAGATAAACAGGTACCACTGTGATGGGAAGGTAAATGGCATTTTCATGCGCTCTGGTTTCTGTCACAGTGTCCCATTGTGCCAGAAGCGGTTTAGTCATGCTGTCCACATGACCTGGAAAGCTGTCTGTGGACAAACTCTGGCTCCCTCAGCCTGAAAGCAAGATGAACGCCGCAACCCCATAGTCACCTTTGACTGGACTTAACCATCCAGGGGTCCTTTACCTTTTACTTTTTTCTGTGCATGTTCACTGTATGTGGATTGGATCCACAAAAGAGGGCACAATTTGCATGAAAATATGCTTATTTATACTGTGTTAATAGATGCAAAATTAGAAGTCATTTATTAAAATAAAAATATACACCTCACCATAGTGGAGGAGGCCATAACCAGGTGTAAAATGTAAAGGGTAAAGGGACCCCTGACCATTAGGTCCAGTCATGACTGACACTGGGGTTGTGGCGCTCATCTCACTTTATTGGCCGAGGGAGCCAGCGTACAGCTTCCGGGTCATGTGGCCAGCATGACTAAGCCACTTCTGGCAAACCAGAGCAGCATGTGGAAATGCTGTTTACCTTCCCACCAGAGCGGTATCTATTTATCTACTTGCACTTTGACGTGCTTTCGAACCGCCGACCTTCTGATCAAGTCCTAGGCTCTGTGGTTTAACCCACAGGGCCACCCGCATCCCGTAACCAGGTGAGATCCCCTCTAATCCCTATTTGGACCCTCTTGGTTTCAGTAAGCATAAGACAGGGATTGGAAGCCATCCCCACTGCCCACCCCATGAAGGGTCCCCATAAAGGGTCGTTGACTCATAGGCTGGAGTGGATCAACCAGGAGCTGAACATGAGCAATATGATTGATAGGCACAGCATGTCTACAGGCAAACCCATAAACAAAATCTTAAAAAAGGGCCAACCAATTGAATTTCTGCTAGTCACACAGCTGTTAAAGAAACAAGAGCTCTGCTCTCTCGCCACGGCAACCTTAAACCATGTCAAGAATTCAAGTTTCTTGAGTCTTAAACTAGTTGCAGGTCTTTCATCAGTTGATCTTAGGCTGGCAATCCAGTACAAGATCATGTGCGATATTTCAGGCGGCAGGGAAGTGTTTTAAGTCAGCAGAGATTTATGGCAACCAGTGTTTAGGTGCCCAGGTCTGGATAAATTCAAGATCTAACTGGAAGGCAAGCAGTGTATTCTAAGAACGTTTGTTGTGTTCTTTCTTTATACTTCATAATAATTTCTGAAATGTGATCAGTACATGTCCAACAGTCAGTCATGAACTCCTGTCTTTGCTGCAACCTTTTGCTTCTGGGTAGACATGTCACTGCCCCTTTAGGTTTCTGAGCTCAGCCACTGTGACACTTTCACACATTGCTTTATGTGAGACTGAAGTCTGCAGGTTTATGATCCCCGCACTGGCTTTCGTGAGCTGCCAGATACATGCACAGGATGTGTGTTTGTTGTGTTGGAAGGGCAGAGCTATACGGTGATCTGGCAGCAGTAGATCACAGGGATTACTCTCACACCTGTTTCTCCATTTTGCCTCAACCCTTCACCTGTCACAGGTGCAGCCCACTTGCCAAAATGTTCGAAATCAAAAGTTTGCAATGGCAACCTTGTCTCCGCAAGAAGAGCCCTGCTCTTCTCTGTGGCCTGCTTGCCTCTTATGAGAAAGCAGTGTGTCATTTAAAGTGGAGAAACTTTGGGTCATTCCCCACCCCTTCTGCCCCCGCCACAATCTGGAGCAGCACACAGTCCAGGAAATATTTTAACGCCTTAGTTCAGACTAGTTCAGGGCTTTGCCACCTTGCACCATGGCTATTGCAAGGTTCATGAAGCACAAAGGTTGATATTCCCTCCAACCCATCCCATGACATAAGGGCTACAAACTGGTGGGTGTTTGGCTAGTTGTGTTCTAGAGTGAGATTTTCCTCAGAAAGCCAGAGGGCACCCTAGTTGCCCTGAACTGAAATTCAGTGACACAAAAAATTGTCAGTAAAAGCGAGATTAAAGCACAAGCTTGGGGCAATGTCAACGCAGAAAAAGAAAAACAAGCAATTTCTCCCTTCCGTTGCCAGCACAGGATAGCCTTAACTTTTGGGGGGCAACGTAAGGGAGTAATGGGGTCTGTTCCAAAACCCACTGCTGAGCTGACCACCCCAATCGAGGCCTGAACCTAACACTCTGCTTTGGGCCTTTTGCATGGCAGACTCTTTGCAGTGAAGTGCAGCAGCTGCTTTGGAGCCATTGCCCCCAGCGAGTTCGTCATGCGAGCCCAAAAAAGTGTCTACCACGTGGGCTGCTTCTGCTGTTGCGTCTGCGAGAAGCAGCTTCAGAAGGGGGACGAATTTGTCCTGAAGGAGGACCAGCTGCTTTGCAAGAGCGACTATGAGAAGGAGCGCGAACTCCTCAGCCTAGTGAGCCCAACTGCGTCTGATTCTGGTAAGGGGGTCTTAAGGGTGCTGCTGGTTACTGTGTGCCGCAGAAGGGCTCTTGTTGTGATATTTGGGGGTCAGGGTATCAAATGTTCCCCGGTGACATTCCCCAATCTGCTCTTAGTTTTATAATTCAAAATCCTCTGGGCTGCAAAATATCTGTTATTTATTTGTGACTCACACCAACCCCAAGGGAAGGGAGCAATGTTGTTGTTGTTTAGTCGTTTAGTCATGTCCGACTCTTCGTGACCCCATGGACCAAAGCACGCCAGGCACTCCTGTCTTCCACTGCCTCCCGCAGTTTGGTCAAACTCATGTTGGTAGCTTTGAGAACACTGTCCAACCATCTCGTCCTCTGTCGTCCCCTTCTCCTTGTGCCCTCCATCTTTCCCAACATCAGGGTCTTTTCCAGGGAGACTTCTCTTCTCATGCGGTGGCCAAAGTATTGGAGCCTCAGCTTCTGGATCTGTCCTTCCAATGAGCACTCAGGGCTGATTTCCTTAAGAATGGATGCATTTGATCTTCTTGCAGTCCATGGGACTCTCAAGAGTCTCCTCCAGCACCATAATTCAAAAGCATCAATTCTTTGGCAGCAAACCCTAACCCTCTTTATGGTCCAGCTCTCACTTCCATACATCACTACTGGGAAAACCATAGCTTTAACTATACGGACCTTTTTTTAGCAAGGTGATGTCTCTGATTTTTAAGATGCTGTCTAGGTTTGTCATTGCTTTTCTCCCAATAAGCAGGCGTCTTTTAATTTCGTGGCTGCTGTCACTGTCGGCAGTGATCATGGAGCCCAAGAAAGTAAAATCTCTCACTGCCTCCATTTCTTCCCCTTCTATTTGCCAGGAGGTGATGGGACCAGTGGCCATGATCTTCGTTTTTTTGATGTTGACCTTCAGCTGAAGCTCAAGGCAGTGGCGTAGCGTGGGGGGTGCAGGGGGGGCCGGCCGCACCGGGTGCAACATCTGGGGGGGCGGTCGCACTCGCAGCTCTCTGCCCCTACTAAAATCCACGGGTTAAGGGGCGCAAATTACTTGCCTTGCCCCGGGTGCTGACAACCCACGCTACGCCACTGGCTCAAGGGAGCAATATTTAAAAGCAATAGACTAAAACACACCTAATTTTAAAACAAGCAAGCAAGGAAACAAGGAAACAAACAAACCTGTATCTGATTAAAATAACTCCATATCTGCTTAATCCATCAAAAAAACTCTGTGGAGAATGTTCCCTCACAAGCAGTTAACCTGTTTCTGAACTGTGTCTGAGTTCTGACTTAGCCTTCTCCCCAACATGTTAGTGTTCTGTGCACAGGGAATTGTTTTGCAAGGAGGAGCAATAAATATTGTGGCCCAACAGCCACAAACTGAAGCAGCCCAGCCTCAGCCCAAAGGTAGTTTTGTAAACTCAGTTAAAACTAGGTTTCGGACTCTGTCATGTCTCGTGCATTGTCTTGAACTGCCCAATTACCCCCCCTCCACTTATCATTGTGAATAAATCTTGAAGCAGTTTATAAAGAAGTAAATAAAAGTGCATTCAAAACCATTTCAGTTTCAAAAATAGTACAGGTATCTTATACCATTCAGGGCAGTAGGATGAGTGCTACAAATCAGGGGAAGCCTGAACAAACAAACAAGCTTTAATAAATGCCAGAAGCACCCAAAAGTTGATGCCTCCTGAGTCCAAGGATGGAAGGTATCTCAGAGGACAGGCACAACTACGGAGAACACTCACTTTTATAGGGTGACCAGATGATGTTCCACAAGTTGCAGCACAATCAACAAAGCCAGTCCCTTGTTATCTAATGTCCCAATGGTCTCCCTGACCTCTTTCCTACTTCTCATGTATTTAATTTTTTTTTAATATTGGTCTTAGTGTTTTCATCAATATCCTCCTCATTTTTTTATTTGCTTGCCTTATTTTCAGCTTATATACGTTTTCCTTGAGTTTGTACCCTTTTTTTGTTCTCATTCGGTCAAGACTCGCATTTTCCGAAGGAAGCCTTCTTGCCTCTTATGATTTCCTTTGTTTCTTTGTCATGACTCAAGCATGCATCTATCCATTCGTTGCTACAACACTTTATCCTTTAGTCGTCTCCTTGATTTCTTCCTCCATCTCAAGATCACCTTCCAAATCTTTGGTCGGGGTCAGGGGCGGGCAGTGCTGAGCAGTGGGCATCCAATCAGAAACCAAGAAACATTGAAACAAAGTTAGCAACTGGTCCTTCAGTACCCTGGACAGATCACAAGGAACAGACCATTTCAGCAGGTTCTTGGCACCTCCTGAGCTTTTCCATACCCCCTGTGGTTCTGAGGGTGCCAGTCCCTTGGGAGAATCTCATTCAGTGGGTGCTGCCTTCAGAGATACCAGTCTCTGGCTTTAAAGACTGTTTGCTTGGGTGCTGTGGCCTTAACACTTGTGCATTTTCTGCCACTGGCCCTCCTGGCATTCCTCTCCCTCCATGTCAGAGTCTTGGCTCTGGTTGGAGCAACGAGAGAGATAAGAGGCAGAAAGCAGGAATGAGTAAGAATGTACATAGGAAAGGTTTTCTTCTTTTGCCAGTTGTAAAACCAAGAGTGGGGATGAGACCTTTTTCAGAGAAAGGTTAGGATTGTAGGACGGACCGGACTCTCTCACACACTTACCCACATCACAAACAGCACCGTGATGGCTTTGATAATGACCGTTTTGACAGAGAGGTGACTCTAGAAAATGCAGCTGCCACGTAGAACAAAACCAGCAAAATGCTGCCATCTTCTGGCAGATGGCTGGTAAATAGAGTGAAGTAACTAGATACACAGTGAGAAAGAGCCAGGTTTGATTGAAAAGACTCAGTCGCTCTGCCCAGATAGTTCTCAGAAGTGAGAGCAGTTGCATCACGTTCTTCGCGAAGGAGACTGGGCTCAGTGGAGCAGAAGACCGAGACTGCCAGACTTGGCCTATTGAGCCTCAGGCCCATTCCACGGCTAGCTGCCAGGTTGTCATGCGTCTTTGATTGCCCCTTAGAGGTACCATTCACAGGTTTCTTCCAGGAATATTTCCTGAAATTGAACACAACACCCCAACTCTGATATCACGTCGAGCACTGAGTAGAATGAGGCAAAAGCAATAAAGAGTCTTGTGGCAGAAATGGATTATGGCAGAAACTTTTGAGGACCACAGTCCATTTCATCAGATGCATGTATTGTAATTCTAAATTGGAAAGATATGGTGGCTGAAAAAGTAAAGGAGGGAGCCAAATGGAAATGAAATGCAAAAACAATAGACATTAAGTGCTTCTCCAGATGACCTGTTCAGGGAGCATTTGTCCTGATTTGCTTGCACAAAGCTTCATGTGGAGGTTATGTGCTGCCTGCCTTTTACTGAGCATTGCTTCTGATTTGTTAGTGAGGAGATCATGTGACAACGAGCATTTATTTTGATTTATCTACCTGGTGGTGTCATTGTTGCACATTTTTTTGTTCGTGTCCCTTTCCTTTTTTTTTTTGCTTGCAGTTTTATTTATTTATTAAAGTTCTTATGTTACATCTGTAAACATTACCATATTACATCACAAGGCTTATTATACTGTAATTTTCAGCATGTATACAAAGTTTATATACTTAAAGGAAAACAAAACAAAACACAAGGACAAAAAACTATTCCAAAATCATATATACACCAACACTTTGGACTTCCTGTCTATCCCATTGTATATTCCTTTTTTTACAAATGAATGTACTCTTATTATTGTATATTTATTTACATTTTATCTAATACATTCCTCTATCAATATGTACTCTTGGTCTTATTTCTCAACTCAGTCTCTCTCCAACGTCAATTGAGTGCTAGCATAGATAGTGAACCTTTACTGTATTTTTGAACATATATCTTATATCTATCCCATCCCTGTCCCTTTCCTAAGGACAATCTGACCTCCCCCCCCTAAAGAAAGTAAATGTGCTTTAATCCACTTCCATTGCGCAAACCTAGATCTCTACTACACTACAGACCTCGAAGAGAAGATAATGAAGCACCACTTGATGTCATCTACGGCTCAAAGCCAAAGCTGCTCCAACATACTTCCAGTGGTCTATAGCCAATACTTGCCAATGACACTTCCCTCTTGCAGGTCTTGGGTAGTCGACCTGTACTTGGTTGCAGACAGCTAGTCTCCCTTGAGCCTCAGACTCTTTCCATCGCTAGTTGGACCACATATAGACCACGTCACAAAGGCACAAACACAGAGACCAAACCCCACCACAAACCAAGATGCCACGTTTGCTCCCATATCTACTCGGGCAACACTATTACAGGACCTAACAGTGTCAGCCACAGCACCACAGATTGCTTCACTTGCTCATCTTCCGCTGTGATGTGCGCTATCGCCTGCCAGGAATGGGGAAACAGACCTGTCTTCATGCGATAGACCAATCGAGCAAAGCTGGCCAGGTAGAGGCATGGATAATTTGGCTGCAAGAGCAAGTTCTGTGCAGCTGATCTGTGCAGAAAACAGGCTTGGACCTCCCACCCATCAGTTCAAGGAATGCTTGGTTTGGCTGTGCGACTGAGTTCTTCTTGCGCAACTTGCACATAGCCGATGCCTGCAGACTTGAGCTTCCTGCCCATTTGCTGATGAGTAGGCAATTCAAGCCTGCTTATCATTGGCGCTTAAAAGCACTGCACAGCGCTCTTTGCAAGCCTTGTACGGTGCTTTAAAGCCCCTCTCTCCCCCCCCCAGTCCCATGGACTACTTTTGGCAGGTGAGTGACCTACCTGTGAATCACCTGACACCCTTATGACTTCAGTTGGTTGAGAGCTGGGTGGCCCTGTCTACCTGTCAAAGCTGGCTTGCAGTAGTTCCCATTGGAACAGAAAGGTTCACTACCTCTGGAATAAACAAACCCAAATCTGACATGAGAAATGGCAGCATCCAGAAACCAGAGCACTTTTTGTGGGAATGTTCACGGAGGCAGGAGAGGATATATTGTTTAATTATATCCTTCCCAACTTGTGTTAACAAGTTCTACAGTTTAGCAGAGTAACAGTCCCCTTTTAAACTTACATAGCGGATAGGTTTGCCAGGCTTGCTTAAGCCTCTAAAATAAGTTTCCTGGTAGTTCCCCTTTTATTCCCTCTTAAAAAAGAATAGACACGACACAGTCTTGTATAAAAGTATAAAATAGTTTACTCACTCATTCTGTTCACAGATGGATCCCAGAAGGCAGACATAAGTTACAAAATATATACACCTGGAATCTATCCCATAGGGAGATAGTTCCTTTGTCCTTTGCTCCTTTGTCCTTTGTTCCTTTGCTGGAAGCCAAGAGAGTATCTCAGGCTGATGCTCCTTCGAAGAAAGCAAAATGGAGGAGAGAGAGATGTGGTGGTCGGTCCTGTGCTTTTGTTACCTGCACAGGTAAAGTTACGCCCACCTCTGGTCACATGTAGAGGAAGTTTGTCCCAGCACAGGAGGAAACAGGAAGTTTATCTACTGTCTGGACAAACATTCCTCTTCATGTCTAAACATGTCCACTCTAGGAATGTTGTATTTGGCTGTCCTGTGTTTCACACCCCACACTCTTAAGGTAGTCATACTTGAACAAAGACATTTTAAAGGCTTCTCTGGTGTGAAGCTGCTGAATTACAATTAATCAAGGAGTCCAGTTCTGTTTATTTGGGCCTGAATAGGGATTGGGGTTGTTGTTTTTTACGTAGATGCTGATGATAAGCAACAAAGTTGTGTAATCCAACCCTAAACCACATTGACTCAAAAATAAGTCTCACTATCTTCAGTACAATCTAGTCATAAGTAGGATTGGGCCATTAGGCTCTCACATGTAAAGCTCTCACATGTAAACTAAAAGCACCAGTATATTTTCTATATTGCAGTCTAACCCTCTCAGCTTAACTTCTCAAAGGGCTGTCCTGATTTGCTACAAGCTGGCCTAAGAACCTGTTTGGTTGACTGGCAGAATATAAGTTTTCTAAAAAGCAAAATAAATGTGGAGCGCTCCATAGCTCAGTCAGTAGAGCATTAGACTCTTAATCTCAGGGTTGTGGGTTTGAGCCCCACGTTGGGCAAAAGATTCCTGCATTGCAGGGGGTTGGACTAGATGACCCTCGTGGTCCCTTCCAGGTCCACAATTCTATGATTCTATCATTCTCTGTCTAAGAGGAAGGACAGACTTTCCCCCGTGACATTTAATTGTGAGGCTATGAGATTATGGCATATACTTGACCAGTCAGCATATATGTATCTTTAAAGACCCAGTCAGAAACATAAGGGAACAAGGAGCACAATGCAAACTTAGGACCACTTTATGAGAAAATGAAAATAAAGAGCAAAGCACTGGAAGCCATATGCTGCCCATAATCTGCAAAGCCCTCAGTTCAATGACTCCTTCCCTTGAGCCCCAGTGTCCAAGCCTAAGTAAACAGGCGCCTGTGAAAGAGGAGCCCCCTTTCCAATTAAAAGTGTACTAACATCCCTCCTTTTCCTAATTCCCCCTAACCAAAGAATTTCTTCATCTTCATACACGAAGCCGGTTCTTCATCATTCCCCCAGTGAGCCTTGAGGTTGCGCAGAGGTCACGGCAGACAATATAAACCGCCTGTAGTCCTTTCCCATGTGACACCAGGAGGAGTCTTAAAGATTAATTAATTCCTACCCTGTTCGAGGAAGGCTTGAAAGGCAGAGTTAATTAAAAGCATTGCCACGCTAAAGCAGAATCAACTTTCCATCATTTGGAGGGATTTGGCGAGCAGGTGTCTGGGGTGGCGGGGGAACACGGCCACTCTTCTTTCATGGGATGGGATTCCCCCAGACTTCTCTCTGCACTGTTTCCCTCCCCCCTTCCCCATCCATTTCAAAGCATTTCCCTATTTCATTCTCCTATATGGACAGATGTGGGAAATATTTGATCAGCCCGTTTCTCTCTTTTCCCCCCCGTATATAATTTTTAAAATTAATTTTCAACATATCATTTTCAACAATAATTAAACGTACTTTAACATCTTATACAATTGTTTTGACTTCCAACAATCACATCTGAAAATTTTCCAATCTATTTATTTGATTTACATTTCTTATTTCCACTATTACATTTAAATCTCATAACTAATATCTCTCTTCTTTGCAATATTTCATATATTTCTCCTTACAGAACTTCTTGTAGCGTAATTTGCTGATTACGGTTGCTCTTCAAATAGTTTGTATATTTCTCCCAATCTTCTGTAAATCTCTGGTCCCACAGGTTTCAAATCCTTCCTGTCATTTTATCCAATTCTGCATAGTCCATGAATTTTGTCTGCCATTCTTCTTTCGTCGGTATTTCTTCTTGTTTCCATTTCTGAGCCAACAATACTTTTGCCGCTGTTGTTGGATATAAAAACAATTTTACATCCTTTCTATTAATATCCTCACCTATAGTGCCAAGTAAAAATGCTTCTGGTTTTTTTAAAGAAATGTATATTTCAACATCTTTTTCATCTCATTATATATCATTTCCCAGAAGTTTTTTACTTTCTTACATTCCCACCACATATGATAAAATGTTCCTTCTGATCAGCCCGTTTCTCTAGTCATCCTACGAAAGAGAAACAGGAACACCTCCTAGCAATAATGCGCTGAGGGGCAAACGCAGCACCAGGGAGGTGTTTTGCTCTAGTTAAGAATCTGGCAACATTGTAGACACTGAACTACCGTATTTTTCGCTCCATAAGACGCACATTTTTCCTTCTAAAAAGTAAGGGGAAATGTGAGTGCGTCTTATGGAGCCCCTTCTGTTCCTCCTCTTGCTTCGCTGAAGGGGTGCTACGCAGCTCTCCCTCTCTGCGTAGTGCCTGTCCTGCGAAGCCAGAGGAGGAACAGAAGGGTCTCCTTCTGTTCCTTCTCCAGCTTCGCTGAAGGGGCGCTACGCAGTTCTCCCTCTCTGCACAGCGCCTCTCCGGAGGAGGAACAGAAGAGACTCCTGTTCCTACTCCAGCTTCGCTGAAGGGGCGCTGCGCACTTCTCCCTCTCAGAGAGGGAGAACTGTGCAGCGCCCCTTCAGCGACGCACCGTCCTGGCTTCTGCCTTAGCCCTGCGCAGCCTCTTTGGGCAGGGGGAGCCTTCATCCCGCTGCCCTGAAGAGGCTTGGCGCGGTTATCCCAGATGCCAAAACAGCCACACAGTATCCCAGAAGCTAGATCCCTCTTGCTGTTCTGGCTTCTGGGATTCAGAATAATTTTTTCTTGTTTTCCTCCTCCCAAAACTAGGTGCGCCTTATGGTCTGGTGCGTCTTTTGGAGTGAAAAATATGGCACAAACCCAGACAGGAGCCCAGACAGGCGCACGGAGACAGTGCCGAGTTCTGAAATCTCATGCTTACCCAAATGATCGCCCCCCAAACACAAACCAACCAATTGTCACTTCGCCAATGCGATTGATTTCAGAGTGGCCAACATAATAATTTGAAGTCCAACGTGGGATATCATAATTTTAAAAAATCAGTAGGCTTCCATTTTATTGAATCAAAACTTTATTGCAAATTTAGCAGTTGAGGAACCTGTTGTTGTAAAATGCCAGAAAGCTCAGAAAAAATCTTAAGCACCTTTGTCTAGAAACAGTGTGTCACACTACATACGGCAATCAGATGTGTTTATCGAGCACTTGTGCTGTTTCCTTCAGCAAACATAGGGACAAGATACATTCCCTGTTGCCCACTTGGAGTTTCAAGTTCAAGAGACTCTGTGGAGGGAACGAAATCCTGAACAATAACACAATATTCACACTATATTTGACCAAAACATCATCCAGTGGTAAAAATGAGACCGTGATTTGCCAGCAACTAGAAAATGGGTTCAGTTGGCGTATATTCTGAATAGACTCCAAGTCTTGGGACTTGTTGCCCTTTCATATAAAAGTTGCAAAATACAGAGCATTTTCAGAAGTCGGTCCAAACTAGGAGTCTCCCTAGTTTCTGAAACGTGTGGGAATGCACAACATGTGTTTGCACAATGCAAACTTGACTCCTTTTTGTCTCATTGCCTCCAGTTATCCCATATTATGCACTGTAAAATAAGCTGTTGGATGTATGAAAACACACGCACAACATAGTGTGAGGTGCCTTTTAAAAAAGATATTCAGACTCAGGAGCTATAAGTCTTGCATACACTGGCTTTATTAGAGCAATTGACTCATTGTTTTCAAATACTATTCACTGATAAAATGCTACTATTTTGGACTCTACTGAGGCCTATTCCATACATGCAACACATCAGGAAATGGGACTGAGGTGGAAGTATGGACCATACTTAGTCCAGACTGCAAGTGAGGATTTGTTGTTTTTATTTTATTTATTTTTTATTAAAAAAAATGTATTGGTTTTACATACTTTTATACATTTTAACTTTAACCATTTCAAAACATTAAAGTAAAAGGTTCTTTCAAACCTTCGGACCCTCTTCTCTCCCTTCAAAAGTTCCATATTAAAAAAATATATATTCTGCATCTTTTACTGTTATCTATCTGTTATATAGGGACGCGGGTAGCGCTGTGGGTAAAACCTCAGTGCCTAGGACTTGCTGATCGTAAGGTTGGTGGTTCGAATCCCCACGGCGGGGTGAGCTCCCATCATTCGGTCCCAGCTCCTGCCCACCTAGCAGTTCGAAAGCACCCCTAAGTGCAAGTAGATAAATAGGTACCGCTTTATAGCGGGAAGGTAAACGGTGTTTCCGTGTGTGACACTGGTGCTGGCTCGCCAGTTGCAGCTTCGTCACGCTGGCCACGTGACCCAGAAGTGTCTTCGGACAGCGCTGGCTCCCGGCCTCTTGAGCGAGATGAGCGCGCAACCCTAGAGTCAGTCACGACTGGCCCGTACGGGCAGGGGTACCTTTACCTTTATCTGTTATATATCCATAGTTACCATCGTTCATTTCACATTACAAGTGTCATTGTATCCCTGCCAATGATTTTAACCGTTTACAGTGGTCTTTTAAATACATTAAAATTTTCTTCCAGTCTTTAGAAATACTTGGTCTTCCTGGTTTCTGATATTTCCCGTCAGTCTTGCCATCTCTGCGTACTCCATCAATTTAGTCTGCCATTCTTCCCTAGTCGGCCCTTTCCCTCCTTCCATCTCTGGTCTAGTAGTATTCTTGCTGCCGTCCTTGCGTACATTAAAAGTATTATGTCTTCTTTTGGTATCTCTTCACCTTTTACAGTGGTACCTTGAGTTACAAACACCACAGGTTACAAATGATTCAGGTTACAAACTCCACTAACCTGGAAGAGGTACCTCGAGTTGAGAACTTTGCCCCAGGATGAGAATGAAAATCGTGTGCCGGCGGCAGCAAGAGGCCCCATTAGCGAAAGCACGCCTCTAGTTAAGAACAGTTTCAGGTTAAGAACGGACCTCCGGAATGAATTAAGTTCATAACTAGAGGTACCACTGTATACCTAACAGAAAACCTTCTGGTTTTTTAACAAAAGTTTTCTTAAACAGTTTCTTTAACTCATTATATATCATTTCCCAGAAAGCTTTTACCACTCCACAGATTTGCTGTCGTTTTTAAATGCACCGTGCAAGTTGAAAATTATCACAGCCGGGTCTTGGTTTAGGGCCAGAACCATTCTCCGTTGCTGTGCTCATTTTCTGTTTGCAAGGAACTGTTAATATGAGGGAACATTTTTTTAAAATGGCGCGCCCCCCCTCCATGTGCAACCTGAAGCGGCATAGTATTGAAGGCACACACTCTAGTGCCGAACATTTTACTGGAATGCTAACCTTGCCAATTAGGACTACCTTATTCCAGACATTTACTTAGAGTAATGGAGGCCGATGGCTTAAGAGCTTCCACACCTCCCAGGCAAAGTGTCCCGGCGTTTCACACACATGCTAATTGAAAAGCCTGCTTAATTACTCTTCAGTGCAGTTCTGGCTGCCGTGATGCATGCTTTGAGAGCCTTGAGGTGAGATTTCTCCAGTGCAATGGGGACATTTTTAAAGAGCATTTGGAGCTGAGCTATAGGTTGGGTCTTAGCTAAAAACACCATATGATACCTGTGCATATAATCTCTGGGCTTAATTCCAAGTGTTACTGTTGACTTTAAAAGTTTGAAATGGTTTGAATCTAGGGTTAGGGTTAGGCTGTCTGAGGTTCCATTAGTGGCAACTGGAGCAAGGCTAATTCCCCCTGCCTGGCCATCTTGCTTCTAGTTTGCAGAAGGATGTTTAAATATCCTTCTTTAGGAAGAAGAAGAAGAAGAGTTTGGATTTGATATCCCGCTTTATCACTACCCGAAGGAGTCTCAAAGCAACTAACATTCTCCTTTCCCTTCCTCCCCCATAACAAACACTGTGAGGTGAGTGGGGCTGAGAGACTTCAAAGAAGTGTGACTGGCCCAAGGTCACCCAGCAGCTGCATGTGGAGGAGTGGGGAAGTGAACCTGGTTCATCAGATTACGAGTCCACCGCTCTTAACCACTATACCACACTGGCATTTAGGCCCCTGGGAGATGGCTGCTGACTTGTTGTGTAACCAGATTTGAGTTGAACTTAAAATCCTCTTTTGACTGCTTTGTTATTTCCTTACAACCACCCCAGCCACACCCCTGTAAAAGTTGCAACACAGGACCCCTGGTTTCACTCCACTGTCTTTCCTTTCCTTACCAAATGCTTCTGAGTGCTTTGTAGCCCTACGTGTGCAAATTCTGAAAGGAATTTTGAGCATCTTCCTGTTAGTATGGAGCTTTTCCATGCAGTGGCGTAGCGTGGGGGGTTCAGGGGGGCCGGCCGCACCGGGCGCAACATCTGGGGGGGCGCGCTCGCACTCGCAGCTCTCTGCCCCTACCTGGCTCACTCACTCTCTCTCACTGCAGTGCTGGCTGTGCGAATCCGATCCGAGCCGCTGGGTCGCCACCCACTGTGGAGGGGGTGGGTGCCAGGTGTGCGGTGCGGAGAGAGAGCGAGGGACTATCTGGGGGAGGGACAGTGCAGCGGCCGCCCAGCGCAGCGCTGAGCGCGGGAGAGAACCACACCAGCCCAGCCCAGGCAGCACCAAGAAGAAGCTGGCAGCGGCGGCAGGTTAGGGGTTAGGGGGCGCAAATTACTTGCCTTGCCCCGGGTTAGGGGGCGCAAATTACTTGCCTTGCCCCGGGTTAGGGGGCGCAAATTACTTGCCTTGCCCCGGGTGCTGACAACCCACGCTACGCCACTGTTTCCATGCGGCTTCTCAATTTGGGGTGATTTCGTTTTAAGCAAAGGCTGGCTTGTGAATCACACTGTGTGGGATTTTATCCCCTTCCCCAATCTTTCAAGGTAAAAGTGATGATGAAGGGAGCCTGTGCAAAATGGGAGATGGCAGTGGGAAAACAGCCGAGGAAAGCAAGGACCACAAGCGGCCAAAACGACCCCGGACCATCTTGACGACCCAGCAGCGCCGGGCATTCAAGGCATCGTTTGAAGTGTCTTCTAAACCATGCAGGAAGGTACAGTTTGATCATAAGAAGAAACTGGCACCATGAACACTGGAATCACCAGAGGTAGCCAGTTTACACTGCCTAAGATGTTGTTAAATCCCAGGGCCGTAGAGTGACTCCTGTCTTAATAATTCCTAGACATTGTGCTCTGCTGGTGGCAGACAGAGTCAGGCGTGTGGTCCACCAAGCAGAATGCAGCCCAACAGACAAGTGTTGTGATTTCCCAGGCACTTGACCATCACGCCTGAGCAGTCAGCAAAAGGACAAGAGAGATTTAATGACCCAGGCGTGAGCCACTGTATGTAGATGACATGCTGATGGACTGCAAGTTGTGTAGCCCTACTTAAGCCTACTTAAGCCTGAGAGCCCCTTACCTGCTGGGAAAACTCAAAAATTGTGGGTTGTTTAGTTTGGAAAAAAGATTCCCTGCTGGATCAAACCAAAGGCCCAGCTATTCCCACATTCTGTTCTCACAATGACCAGTGAGGTGCCCTGTGGGAATGTTCAGGAAGGCAGGAGAGGATATATTGTTTAATAATATCCTTCCTAACCAGTTCTATGATTTAGCAGAGTAACATTCCCCTTTTAAACTTGCACAGCTGATAGGTTTTCCAAGCTTGCATAAACCTCTAAAAATAAGTTTCCTGGTAATTCCCCTTTTATTCCCTCCTAAAAAGAATAAACACAACACAGTCTTGTATAAAAGTATAAAAAGAGTTTACTCACACATTCTGTTCACAAATGGATCCCAGAAGGCAGACTTAAGTTACAAAATATATACACCTGGAATCTATCCCATAAGGAGATAGTTCTTTTGTCCTCTCTTGGCTTCCAGCCAAGAGAGCATCTCAGGTTAAGGAGCTGTTGCTTCTTCAAGGAATGGAGTCAGAGAGAGAGATGGCTGCCTGCCCTGTGCTATTTTGTTACCTGCACAGGTAAGGTCATACCCAACTCTGGTCACATGTAGAGGAAGTTTGTCCCAGCACAGGAGAAAACAGGAAGTTTATCTACTGTCTGGACAAACATCCCTCTTCATGTGTAAACATGTCCACTCTAGGAATGATGTATTTGACTGCTCTGTGTTTCACACCCCACATGCCCGTGGAAAGCCCCAAACAGGATTTGAGCAGCACAGCACACTCCCCCCACTTCATTTCCCCAGCAGCTACTGTTCAGAAGATGTGGGTGGCGCTGTGGTCTAAACCACTGAGCCTCTTGGGCTTGCCAGTCGAAACCGCATGGCAGGGTGAGCTCCTGTTGCTCTGTCCCTGCTCCTGCCAACCTAGCAGTTCAAAAGCACACCAGTGCAAGTAGATAAATAGGTGCTGCTGTGGCGGGAAGGTAAACGGCATTTCTGTGTGCTCTGGTTTCTGTCACGGTGTCCCGTTGCGCCAGAAGCGGTTTAGTCATGCTAGCTACATGACCCGGAAAGCTGGCAAACGCTGGCTCCCTCGGCCTGAAAGCGAGATGAGCACTGCAACCCCCTAGTCGCCTTTGACTGGACTTAACTGTCCAGGGGTCCTTTACCTTTTTTACCTTTACAGGGAAAAACTAAAGAGTTGTGGGTTCTTTAGAAAAATAATAATCCCACATTAAACCATAAGATCCCTGCTGGATCAAACCAAAGGCCCAGCTATTCCTACACCCTGTTCTCACAATGGCCAGTGACGAGCCTGTGGCAAGCCCTTGCCCACTTCATTTCCCCAGCCACTACTCTTCAGAGGCATACTCTACAATAGTCATTGTAGCTAATAGCCATTTCTCTAAAGCCATCCAAGTTGGTGTCCATTGCTACCTCTTGTGGGATAAAATTCCATAGTTTACGCACTGAGCAAAGAAGTGCTTTCTTTTGACTGTCCTGCATCTTCCAACATTCAGTGTTATGAGACAGTAAGGAAAACCTTTCTTCACCCACTTTTTCCATGCCATGCACAATTTTTAAAATTTCTATCCTGTCACCTGCTACTATCCTTTGCTCTAAACCAAAAAGGCCCAAATGCTACAACTTTCCCCCCTAAGGGAGTTGCTTCATCCCTGTGATCACTTTTGATGCGCACTGATCAGTATTCCATGTGTTTTCACAGCTCCCCTGTTTGGAGACACATGCTTGAAATCCGACTGCCGAACTCCAAAAACTTCCAGTTCTTATGGTTTTGGAGTTTGGTGAGAAATCTAGGGAGCAACTGCAAACACTGAGATTTTGTGCCGAAAAATGAAAAAACCCTTTAGGAAAACGTTGAAATTTGTGTTGAGAGTCCTACACATTTAGTAGTTTGCTGATCCTTTTGCCTCTGTTTTAAACGAATAATCATGTCTGCTGTTCTGACATTTCATGAAGGTAAGGGAAACGCTAGCGGCCGAGACGGGTCTGAGTGTCCGAGTTGTTCAGGTCTGGTTCCAGAATCAAAGAGCTAAGGTAACAACATTTCTCCTTGAATCACTTACTACATAATGATGCTGGGGCCTTTCATCCATTTTTAGATAGGAGGGCTATCTATCTAAACTTAAAATGTTGTCCTAGTTTGGAGTAGGAATAGGCAATTTGCAGATTGCATTTTTGGATTTGGGAAGCTATCTTACAGACCATTGGTCCATCTAACATAGTTTCACTGAGCTGCATAGGCTGGCAGAAGTTGCGTGGTGAGTTCCCGACCCCCCCCCCCCGGTGGAAATAATGACACATGACACAATTATTAAGGTTAATGGGCTAAAAAAGCCCACAACTTTATTGGTTACAGGTGATGAGCAGTATTGGCTTAGGCATTGGTCCTAGCTGACTACTGTATTTTTCGCTCTATAGGACGCACCAGGCGATAGGACGCACCTAGTTGGGGGGGGGGGGAGGAAACAAGGGGGAAAAATCTGAATCCCAGAAGCCAGAACAGCAAGAGGGATCTGGCTTCTGGGATAGCCTCTTGCTGTTCTGGCTTCTGGGATAGCCGCTGGGAGCTGCGCAGCGCTCCCTCTAGCTGTTCTAGCTTCGTGCAAAGCCTCCACAGGGTACGGGAAGCCTTCATCCCCGTGCCCTGCGGAGGCTTCTGGGACAGCCCATGAAGCCTCCAGAGGGCAGCGGGATGAAGGCACCCCGCTGCTCTGGGGAGGCTTTGTGCAGCTAACCCCGAAGCTAGAATAGCGCTCCGTGTCGCTGTTCTGGCTTCTGGGACAGCCTGTGAAGCCTCTGCAGGGCAGCGGGGTGAAGGCACCCTGCTGCTCTGTGGAGGCTTTGCGCAGCTAACCCCGAAGCCTTTGGAGCGCAGTGCGAGTTCCCGCTGTGCTCCAAAGGCTTCAGGGATAGCCACCCGAAGCCTTTGGAGCGCAGCGGGACCTCGCTCTGCACTCCAAAGGCTTCCGGTGGCTATCCCTGAAGCCTGGAGAGTGAGAGGGGTCGGTGCGCACCGACCGCTCTCGCTCTCCAGGCTTCAGCGAAAGCAATGCGTAGCCTCCGGAGCGCGGAGGGAGCTCTCCCTCTGCGCTTTGGAGGCTTTGTGTTGCTTTCGCTGAAGCCAAGGAACCTGCATTCACTCCATAGGAAACACAATCATTTCCCCTTAATTTTTGGAGGGGAAAAAGTGCATCCTATAAAGTGAAAAATACGGTATATCCGACTTCAGCCCGTCCGCTCAAAGTCCGGGAAGGGTTAACCACCAATAGGGGGAGTCTTGCTGATGCACATCAACTAGGAACTCCCCCAGGGTCACCACTAGGGGGCGTGCCTTAGGCCCTCACCTTCCTAGGCTTCAGACAGGGCCACGCCCCCCAGAAACCTTTAACGGACTACCCTTCAATATGCGGGGCAGGTGATGGTGCTACCTCCCCTCTTCCATCTACAGAACTATACCAAAGCCTAACCGCCAATACCCGAAAAGTTGTGATGATTTGCTACGAGGTAGATGAAAACTACGAGGTAGGGGACGCGGGTGGCACTGTGGGTTAAACCACAGAGCCTAGGAGTTGCTGATCAGAAGGTCGGCGGTTCGAATCCCTGCGATGGGGTGAGCTCTGGTTGCTCGGTCCCAGCTCCTGCCCACCTAGCAGTTCTAAAGCATGTCAAAGTGCAAGTAGATAAATAGGTACCGCTCCGGCAGGAAGGTAAACGGCATTTCCGTGCACTACTCTGGTTCACCAGAAGCTGCTTAGTCATGTTGGCCACATGACTCAGAAGCTGTACGCCGGCTCCCTCGGCCAATAAAGCGAGATGAGCGCCGCAACCCCAGAGTCAGCCACGGCGAGACTTAATGGTCAGGGGTCCCTTTACCTTTACCTTTTAGTTGAAAACCAAGTGGCTGGTGCCAATTTGCCAAGTGGAAAAATTCTTACCAGGCCCCTCAAGGGCGACCAACCAAGGTCCATAGCAAGGTCAAAGAATGAAACCTTATAGGGCGGGAGGGTTGGAAATGCAGGATCAATTGGCGAACGGCAAAGAGGGAGAACCATGGCAGCGTCCTGCCTTTATAGAGCAGGCCACGCCCCCTGAACCAGCCGATTGGCCAACCAGGGGGTGACGTGGCTGGGAATCCCCCCAATTGCGCAGGGGCTGGCCTCCACCCACCACGCGTGTGGACGGGCCGTGAAGCAACCCCACCTCCTCCTTAGGGCGGAAGAGGCTTTCTCAGACAGGGCTCTCTCTCAGCCCATCTTAAGATGCCCATCTTAAGAACTATCAGAGTGTAACGGCAGCATCGTGCTTCTGCTAACCCTGTCGATGCTTTTCCACCATTTAGGAAAAGAAGAGGAGGGGATACTGGCTTGTTCTAACCTTTCCTCCCTTTCTGTAACAGATGAAGAAATTAGCAAGACGACAGCAGCAGCAGCAGCAAGATCAGCAAACAACACAGAGGCTCACTTCTGGTAAGCCTGTCTCCTAACCCCCTTCTTTCACGGGACCTGCCTGTTCCCTTTTCCTTGAAACTCCACCACCTACAGCCAGGATTCTGAAAATGGAAAGTAGATTCTCTTTCCATGGAGGCACCAGGAGTTGCTGGACAGGAGGACCAAATACTTTCCTACCTCCCCTCCTTTCAAATGCAGGTGCTTCCTACTTGAGCCAGAAGGCAGAATATGCCACGCTGAATGAGGGAGGGCATCAACAATATATGGCGGCCAGTGAACCAGTCCTCTGCAATGGGCAAGATTTCATTTCCTCAGAGACTTTAATAGCATGCCATGAACAGCCATGGTCCTCCCCACAATATCGATTTGACTTATCCCATGGTTTTGTCAACACTCAGTTCTTGGGTGTTACCTTGAAAAACGGGAATTTATTGATACGGAGAAGTTATGATTCACTTGGCTCCTAGGACATCTCAGCTGCCATGTCCTACCTGGGATCTCTCCTCAGATTGTCATGGGTTTTCCACTGTAATCTCCATAGCTTTTTCAGTCCTTAGCTTTGCTTCCCAATTTCCCCTTACTATACAAGGCTGAACATGCTTCCCATCTCAACTCTTCTTTCCACGCTTGGGTCACTCTTCTAGCACAACGGCCCCTCTTTTGCATGATGCTATTCAACTCCCACCCTGAACAGTGAACACATCTATTTTAATGATAAGAGGAATTAAGGGCCAATGAAAACAAGGCACTGGGAGATCCATGGCTGGGTCTTCTGAATATTCTCTCTCTCTCTCTCTCTCTCTCTCTCTCTGTGCAGTGAGGGGACATGAATTGGGAAAGCAGTGGTGGGAAACCCTTCCTGTGTTCTTTTCCTGATCTCAGTCACCCCCTTTAAAGTGTGTACACTTCCCTCTGTGAGACAAAAAGCAGAGAGAAGGGGGTTGAACATGGGGGGGGGGATTTCCATTCTGTGCAACAGAGGGCCTTCTCAGTAGTGGCACCCGCCCTGTGGAATGCCCTCCCATCAGATGTCAAGGAAATAAACAGCTATCTAACTTTTAGAAGACATCTGAAGGCAGTCCTGTTTAGGGAAGTTTTCAATATCTAATCGTTTACAATTTTTTATGTGCTGTAAGCTGCCCAGAGTGACTGGGGAAACCCAGCCAGATGAGCAGGGTATAAATATCATCATCATCATCATTATCATCACAGAAGTCCTGTCTTACAGTGAACTTGGCATCCCAGGTCCAAAGGAGCTTATAGTTATATTTTTCATGAACTTGATAATATATAGGTCTGGCTGTCTGTGTCCCTTTAAGCAGCTCATATATTTGAGTCGACTGATGGTTTAATTCATTTATTCCAAGACTGAAAAAATGAGAAGTCGTATATGGGTTGGTCGGGTATGGCTTTGAAAATAGGGGAGCTGGGAAAGAGTTCACACCTCCTGGGACTGGAAATTCAAGAAAAAAGTTCATTAAGAAAAAAAGGCGCCAGTATAGAAGACAGATAAGAGCCAGGTCTTGCTGACATAAGTGAAATATTAAGGTATTGGGAGACTGATCTTATGAACTCGCATTTTATTTGCCATTGTCTTCCAGCTCAGACAAACAGTGGCAACAACGCAGGCCTTGAAGGAATCATGAACTCTTATACCACCTTGCAGCCACCTCCACAACAAGTATTAGTCATTGATCAAAGTGTTTACAGCTCAGACCCCTTCCGGCAAGGGCTCACTCCACCACAAATGCCAGGAGACCACATGCACCCTTATGGTAAGAGCAGAAACCATGCATATTGTACAGACGGACTAAGAGGAACCCCTTAACAACGTGAATTTAGGATGTCAAGAGTCCATAGCCCTCTAAGACAATATTTGTGCTGGGTTTGGGCTTCCAGGCTTAAGCTAGTGGAGCTTGAGATTTTAAATGTGTCTGGTTTCCGTCTAGATCAGGCATAGACAAACTCCGGCCCTCCAGATGTTTGGGACTACAATTCCCATCATCCCTGACTACTGGTCCTGTTAAGCTAGGGATCCTGACAAGACAGAAGTACTGTTTTGGGGGGACAGGAGGTGGGCAGGTGTGGGGGACTCCCTGGTCCTGAATGGGGTAACTGTGCCACTGAAGGACCAGGTGCGCAGCCTGGGAGTCATTCTGGACTCACAGCTGTCCATGGAGGCGCAGGTCAATTCTGTGTCCAGGGTAGCTGTTTATCAGCTCCACCTGGTATGCAGGCTAAGACCCTACCTGCCCACAGACTGTCTCACCAGAGTGGTGCATGCTCTAGTTATCTCCCCCTTGGACTACTGCAACGCGCTCTACGTGGGGCTACCTTTGAAGGTGACCCGGAAACTGCAATTAATCCAGAATGCGGCAGCTAGACTGGAGACTGGGAGTGGCTGCCGGGACCACATAACACCAGTCCTGAGAGATCTTCATTGGCTCCCAGTAAGTTTCCGAGCATAATTCAAAGTGTTGGTGCTGACCTTTAAAGCCCTAAACGGCCTCGGTCCTGTATACATGAAGGAGCGTCTCCACCCCCATCGCTCAGCCCAGACACTGAGATCCAGCGCCGAGGGCCTTCTGGCAGTTCCCTCATTGCAAGAAGTGAGGTTACAGGGACCAGACAGAGGGCCTTTTTGGTAGTGGCGCCCGCCCTGTGGAATGCCCTCCCTTCAGATGTGAAGGAAATAAGCAGCTATCTTATCTTTAAAAGACATCTGAAGGCAGTTCTGTTTAGGGAAGTTTTTAATATTTAATGCTGTATTGTTTTTAACACTCGATTGGGAGCTGCCAATTATTATTATTGTATGTCTGTATAGCTACCTCAAACACATGAGAGTGGCTTAGTCAAAATTTAGAGGGCACTTATGAAAGAAGTTCTCGCGTGTAAGCGCCGTTAAAAAGAATGGCGCAAGAGCCCGACTCTGCACCCGAGCAGCTCCTGTTCATTTCAGTGTTGTGTGAGTGGATTGTGCCTGAGTGGAACAAATCTTTCTCTCTGTTCTGAAGGTTCTGAGCACCTTTTGTGTGAGATGGACAGTGACGACACCTCCCTCAGCAACCTGGGCGACTGTTTCTTAACAACTGTGGAACCCGGGCCCTTGCAGTCCAGAGTGGGGAACCCCATTGACCACCTGTACTCCATGCAGAGCTCCTACTTCACATCTTGAGGCATTTGAGGCTTCTGAACAGACCAGGGCTGGGCTCACTGCAGGTGCCACCTGGAGAGAAGGAGAGGAAAGGATTTTGAAATGGCTAGCTTCGTTTCCCATTTGAAAAATTCAGCGGAAATCAGGAACATTTGTGAAGGAAGAATTCAAAACTCCGTTCTCCTTTCGCGAACCCATTTGTGGAACGACTTTTTGAAACTGAGTTTTAAATTTTGAAGTGTCAAGGAATGCATGAAAGAAGACAAAAACTTATTCCCCCCCCCCCGTGTTTTATTTAAGGCTGTCTTGAAGGCAAGTTGCAAAAAAGCAGTACTTTAGGCTTAGACTAGATAGGCAAGCAATATTTCCCACTTTGGGACTGAAACAAAAGTTCCTCATTTGGGTGGACTACCCTTCTGGGGGGGAAAAACTTAGATAATTTTCAATAATTTGTGCATTTTGTAATCCTTCTTGGCAATCCTGGTGGCTTCTGCGATTTCTGCATTGCTATCATTTCTTCCTTGGTTGCTATTTCTTTCTCCTTCCTGGATTAATCCCGTAAGTGAACCCACCTTATCAGAATCACATAGTGAACAGGGTGATATCAGAATGAAGTCAGTTAGATCTGGGCATGTGAGAGTGAGAGCAATTTAAACTAATAAATGAACATTATTATTATTATTTTGCAATGAGTGACAGAAAATAATTGACATGGGAGGCATTTTTGACACTGCCAAAAATGTATGGAGGGGTGGGAAGGTTCATGGTTTGTTCATATAGCTATCAATTTGGTGCCTGGCAAGCATGTGTGTCAAAGTGTTTGAGTGTGTTCATGTAAGGGCGTGTGCATTTATATGCAAGATACAAGCGCACCTAATATTGCATCAGGTTTATCCCTAATGATAGAAATGTTCTGCACAGCAAAAAATAACTTTATATTCTGAGTGAACTATATTTAAGAAATTGCTCGATGCACTAAAGTTATGAAACAAAAGAACCGGGTTTTCTAAAATATCACATTTGGTTTGCAAAGACGGAAAAGCAGAGTTAGAGTAGCAGTCTCAGCTGGAGGCAATTTGATGCTTCTTTCCATTTCTTCATTGGTTTTCAAATGAAAATCCACGTCTGAAAATATCAGGGTTACCCATCCTCCCTTATGCATGCAATCTAGTTCCATTAGAATAAAGGAAAACTCTGCTGTTGACTTCAGTGCAATTCGGGTTGCAGCCAACATTAGTTCTATACAAGAAAATTGTCATCCCAAGAAAGAGACACATCATGCTTCGTGTCCCATCAGCAGCACAGAGGTTAGCCTTGTATATACACGTAGAGGAAGCCCTTATTGTAAATGAAGGCATCTTTCAAAGCAATGGAAAAGCTGCCTCTGGATTTTCTAACAATTCCAGAGTACATTCATGGGCTGTGGAGAGTTTAAGAATCCCACTATCAAGATTCGCAAGGGGATGATGTAGGAACACTTAAGAAACTAAATGGTTGACTCCTTTCAGAAACCAGAACCTCCACTGCTGTTGGTGAAGAATAGAATAGATGGATCTACAAAACACCACAAAGAATTTGACAAAATAACATCGACAATTGTCATGGGTATCCATTCTAAAGTCCTTTGTTGCAATAGAAAGGACTTCCGGTGAACTCCATAGGCAATGGACATTGGTCTTCATGTGCCTTCCAGATGAGTTAGACTAGCTCATTCTTCTGCCACTTAAATAATGGAGTCTTCCAATGTAACCGAGAAATCTTCTGTTGAACTGGCCGGAGTGAAGGATCGCTACATATATGTCTTTAACATGCTGAGTTCCACCTCTTATTTAGAGAAGACTCATAATGGGCTGACTGAGAGGGAACTGGAGAGGACCCAGGCAGATTCAAGTTCCTCTGACATGGAGCTGTAGGAATCCAGCTCCCTGCTCTTCTTCCCTGTCTCTGTTGGTGGGCCTGACTTCCTTCTGTGCTGATGGTGCTGACTTGACCATGCTACTCTGTGTGGTAGGAGGAAGCACGTAACATTTCTCCCCCAGCTTCCCTAAGACATGGTGATCAGTAATATTCAGTTTGTCTAAAACTGGAGACAGACAATATTTCAGAGCTGATCATGTTAAGAGGGAGCACTGCCCATAATGTGTGCCCTGACCCTTCTTTTTTCCTCTACTGAAACATGTCTTGCAAGTTTAGGTATTGCTTCAAAAACCTGCTTGATCCATGTCAACAATAGAACAAAAGTAATACTAGAAGAAATGAAGCTTCTCTCAGATCACTTTCAGCTCTTGAAAAATAACGGTCTATCTCCAATCTAAAAGAACGTAATAATAATAATAATAAATTTTATTTATATCCCGCCCTCCCCAGCCGAAGCCGGGCTCAGGGCAGCTAACAAAAATCAAATAATCAAACAATCAAATAATCCAACATTCTAAAAACATTTCATTATAAAAATTAATTAAAATCAAATTAATGGCAACCGTTAAGCAAAATTCTGTGCAGGTTGCCAGAGGAGGGAGTCAGGCTGTGCCCTGACCAAAGGCCTGGTGGAACAACTCTGTCTTGCAGGCCCTGCGGAAAGATGTCAGGTCCCACAGGGCCCTAGTCTCTTGTGACAGAGACGTAGTACTTCACAACCAATCTACCATAAGATGCTATGATGCAAATGAGTATAAAGGTTACCCCACCCCCAACAGATTGGGTGAACATGTGGAGACAGGTCTGTCAATGACTACCAGGTGTCAGGTTCCAGCTCCAGGAAATGATATCTCCACTGTGATCCTGAGGCCACTGGTGGTCCATTGGAATGACCAAGAATGGCATAGAGGTATATGGATAGTTGAGTTAGCAACTCTCAACTTTGAGACTTTGGGATAATAAGACCTAGCATGGGTTCTCATCATCATGTTTTCCAAGTAATGATTGCAGCGCTCACATGGTAAGTCCATTTTCAGAACGACAAGGCGGGCTATCTTGGAAGATGCTAAGGCACCCCATAAAAACGGTATAGCTCTCCCTTCCTCACCAGATTACTTCTCTGCTGGCCGTCGCGCTGTTAGGCCTGCAGTATTGCAACCTCCCTGTGCTCTCCAGGGTGAGGTCCTGTATCCGGCAGCTTGTTCTTTCTCAGAGCCCTAGTACAAAGATGTGTCTCCTGGTGGAAGCAGGAGAGGAGTCGGACACAGCATCTGAGGAAGAATGAGCCACTGAACGATGAATGCACTGGTTCACTGCCATGCCCAGCTGCATGGGGTTGGCCTGGTAGGAGACCAAAGGACTCTACTACTTTGGTGTGGGGTGTCTCTCTACTTTTCTACCCATGTAGGGACAACAGGGTTGCAGCCTTAATTGTCAGGATGCTTTCAGCAGCTTCCAGCTCGTTGCCCAGGAAAGTATAAAGACAATGAAAAGTTTCTTACCATCATTTTTTTATTTCAGTCTTCACAGACAGAGGCTATAGAACCCAGCCTCTTGGATAATGGTGTTGTCCCAAGTGAATCTCCACCCCCGTCTCTCCCACTTCCTTGTTCATCGTTCTCATCCTGTCCTCTATGGGTCCTGCTATGTGCCCTCTGTCTTTGAGCTCTTTGCTCTCCTACTTTCAAGGCATGCCAGGTTCTGGGAGATGGAGGGTCTGGGGTGCTTTCTAATGACACCGTGTCAGCCAGCTGCTAACCTGGTTCTGCCTCCTCCTCTCCCATTATTTCCCAGCTTTTCCCCTCATCTGCCTCTGAGCTGCTACCTCCCTCAAACCCCTGTTGTAAATCTATACTGTCTTCCTCTTCCTCTTCCTCTTCCCTGGAAGGGTCGGGATGGGGAGGCGGTCTCCACTATTCCTCCTCTGCCCAGTCCCTGACACTAACTTAGGGAAATTACTGTGAACACTGTGAAAGCACACATGAAAAATCTATTATTGCTCAGTAGTGGTAATTTTTTGGAACCACACAGAATGAACTTGCAAACGTTTGTCCACGCAAAGCCATACATACATGGAAATTGTCTTCTCTTAAAATAGAAATTTCTTATGGAACTCATGAGTCATGTCCCTTAAAGCCTTTGCCGAGGTTAGTTGCACACACAGCCTCATTGCCCCATCATAGTTTGTGTTGTATAAAAATATTATGCTCTTCATTAATAAATTATGTAAAGAAAAGAAACTGAATGAAAAGTAGTTGTGATGCTATAGGTTTTGGCCATGCTAAAGATTATACACTGAATGTAACAGAATGTGACAAGTTGTTGGAACTGCTGCATCAATGGAAGTAAGATTATGAGAATAAATGAGGGGTTTGAGAATAAACAATATGAAAAAAGGCTGATCTGTCGTGAAAGTTTGTAGAATAGCTGATGTAGAATAGTAGCTAAGACTCCGAGCCCAGAAGTCCCCGGTTCAAAGTTCACTTCGGAATGATTTATCTAGGTGGTTTCTGTGTCAGTTTGCACATCACATCAGCTGTGTTACAGCATCTAATGCAACTATAGTTTTACACAAAAATGGCTACTCAGTACTCAGTGGTGAAACAAAGGCATTTTGCACATGGCCAGACCTGCACGTCTCTCTAGCAAGCCGCAGCTGTGAGGGGGAAATCTCAGTGAATGCTGATATTACATAGGAAACATGAATATTTGTGCTGCTGAAAACAGTTTCTGGAGAATCTCTTGTTGCTACTTGTTGCTAAAGGATAATCCACAGACCGGGGGAAACTGACCACACCCCAGGAGTGTTGTAGCTTTGCTCTCAATCGCTCAAACCTCAATGGAACAGAGTGCCTTTTCAATTTTATTTGATTTTTGATTTTTTTTATTAACATATAAAACACATACATTTACATTTATACAATGCACATACACAACACACTACCTTATTTTCATAACATAAAACATACCTAAAGGTAAAGGTAAAGGGACCCCTGACCGTTAGGTCCAGTCGTGACCGACTCTGGGGTTGCGGCGCTCATCTCGCTTTATGGGCCGAGGGAGCCGGTGTACAGCTTCCAGGTCCTGTGGCCAGCATGACTAAACCGCTTCTGGTGAATCAGAGCAGCACACGGAAACGCCGTTTACCTTCCCGCCAGAGCAGTACCTATTTATCTACTTGCACTTTGATGTGCTTTTGAACTACTAGGTTGGCAGGAGCTGGGACCGAGCAACGGGAGTTCACCCTGTTGTGGGGATTCGAACCGCCAACCTTCTGATTGGCAAGTCCTAGGCTCTGTGGTTTAACCCACAATGCCACCCGCGTCCCATAGGGGTTGTCTTTAAAACATAGGGGGCGTCTTATACCTGGGGGCGTCTTATACATGGAAAATATGTTATCTCTCGGGGGACAAAGCTTCCAGGAAACTGGGCTGCCAGTACCAACACTTTCTGTTCATCTGGTCTATGTAGCCTTATCTCCTCATCAGGACAGTTCGAAAGCACATCAAAGTGCAAGTAGATAAATAGGTACTGCTCCGGTGGGAAGGTAAACGGCGTTTCCGTGTGCTGCTCTAGTTCACCAGAAGCGGCTTAGTCATGCTGGCCACATGACCCGGAAGCTGTATGCCGGCTCCCTCAGCCAATAAAGCGAGATGAGCGCCGCAACCCCAGAGTCGGTCACGACTGGACCTAATGGTCAGGGGTCCCTTTACCTTTAATAGAGCTCAGGGAGCCATTTACCAGGCTCTGAGCAGCAGGGCCCA